AAAAATCACACTGTTCCATGGAATATTGCATGATGATAAAGAATATAGAATGCATTTGAAGTCTGTGACAAATTTAGACGTGTACTCTGGGACAGCACATTTTCTTAGCATGTTCATCTGCTTTTGAGCCACTTCATTCATATACAGTAAAAGTCTTCAAGCATCTGTGCAGTCTGTTCTCATTTATACTTTGGAAGAATCAATAGTTTTCCTTTAAGAAGTAATTCTAACTTGAAGTCTTCATAAAGAAGTGAGGAGAAAGTGGGATGCACTAGTGTCAAGCTCTAAGGGATGTTATTGAAGTAAATGGTGAGGCATAGGTTCTTTGAAGAGGTGCAGATTTTGATCGTACTGTATTTGTGCCTAGAAGTACACTCTCGCTTGGGAACTGTTTCTAAAAAAATAAATGAAAAAATAGGAGTAGAGGAATTCAAGTAGAATACTATTCTAAGCACTTTAGGCTTTATTTTATAGAGATTTGCAACATGTGTTTTCTCCATGTTTTTGTCACAGCATTTAGTGCCAATGGAAAAGATGTTATTGTGGACTTTCCTCAACAGTCTCATTGGACTGGCTTATTGTCAGAAATGGAATTGGTCCCCAGCGTTCATCCTGGAGTCACGTAAGTGATGATTTACTTTTTTCTTAATGAATTTGGGTTATCCTTTACCTTATTGTCTTGATTCTATTATCTTGTCTCGTGTTACAGTTAACCTGTACCATATATATTTCCTTGTTATTCTGCTGTCAAATCAGGTGTGATGGCTGTCAGATGTTTCCTATCAATGGACCTAGATTCAAATGCAGGAACTGTGATGATTTTGACTTTTGTGAAACCTGTTTTAAAACCAGGAAGCATAATACCAGACATACTTTTGGCAGAATAAACGAGCCAGGTAAGTTTCACAATCTAAATGACGTATTTTTTAAACTTCTTAACATTACAAAAAAGGTTTAAAGGTCAATGTTTTGTTGTAATCCACCACTTGCATTTGTAGCAGTGCTGTGATCTGCTAAAAATGTTTTGTTGTCTATGGAGTCAGTCTGAACTGTAATTTCATTGTGTTAAGGAGCTGAAATTTAAAACTGTTTTTTTAAAAATAACTTTTAAATGTCTTTTGAATTTATCTAGTCAAGAACTTGTAGACGTGAAACTCCTTTAAAAAAAAGACCATGCTCTTTGAGTACTGATGGGATATCCTTCTCTGTTCTCAATTTAGACTACATACCTGAAATCTTTGATTTGTTATGTTACCTTCCACATTGCTTATGGTCTCATAAAAGCCATTTTCTTTGAGTGATACATGCTTAATGTTTCACTTAACCATGCAGGTCAGTCTCCTGTATTCTGTGGGCGTTCTGGAAAGCAGCTGAAGAGACGGCACAGTAGTCAGCGGGGAATGTTACTGGATGATTGGTCAAGGATAGTTAAGAATTTGAATGTCTCATCCTCTGTGAATCAGGCTTCACGTCTTATTGATGGTAGTGAGCAGTGCTGGCAGTCTTCTGGTTCACAAGGAAAGGTAAGTTTAAGCCCTGACTGGTTTATTGTGGCATACTTCCTTCTTCAGAGGAAAGGGGTTTACGTTAGTGAAATATATTTATTTGTTACCTTTGTGTAAGGTAGAAGAGTAGTAAAACCAGACATCTGAAGTACAAAACTATGTTTCTTCATAATAAATGTGTCTATTTTGCTTCATCTTTCTAGTTATAGAATCATAGAATGGTAGGGTTGGAAGGGATTAAATTAAAGATTATTTAATTGCAAGCCCACTGCCATGGGCAGGGATGCCATTTACTAGATCAGGTTGCTTAGAGCCCCATCCAAACTTGTCTTGAAGGCTTCCAGGGATGGGGCATCCACAACTTCTCTAGGCAACCTCTTCCAGTGCTTTACCACCCTCTGAGTAATGAATTTCTTCCTAACATCTAATCTAAACCTGTCTTCTTTCAGTTCAAAACCATTGCCACTTGTCCTGGCAGTGTCTGCCTGTATAGAGTACCTTTCCTTTCATTTTATAGGCCCCTGTTAGGTACTGGAAGACCACAGTGGGGTCTCCCCAGACCCTTCTCTTCACCAGTCCGAACAACCCCAGCTCTCTCGGCCTGTCTTTGTGGGAGAGATGCTCTATCCCTTTGATTGCATTTGTGGCCCTCCTCTGGACCTACCTGCTCTAACAAGTCCACATCCAGTGCTGGAGATCCCAGAGCTGGATGCAGTCCCCCAGGTGGGATCTCAGAAGAGCAGAGTAGAGAGGGAGAATCACCTCCCTTGACCTGCCAGCCACTCCTGTTTTGATGCAGCCCAGCATGAGGTTGGCCTTCTGGACTGTGGGTACACACTGGGGACTCATATTCAATTATTCATCCACTGAGACGCCCAGCTCTCTTTTTGTGAGGCTGCTCTGCAGCCTCTCATCCCCCATTTTGTAGGTATAAGCAGGATTACCCCATCCCAGATGGAGAATGCCACACTTGCCCTAGTTAAATTCCATACAGTTGGTGATTGTTCAGCTGTCTAGTCTACCCAGGTCGCTCTGTAAGGCCTCTCTGCCTTCGAGGGAGTCAACAGCTTCTCCTAGTTTAATGTCATTGGCAAAGTTGTTTAGTGTAAGTTTGACTTCTGTGTCTAGGTATTTATTAAAAACCTTGTTCCTTATTTCATGGTTTATCAGTTTCATTGGCCTGCAGTAATGCTCTGTGGGTAGCATAGGCACTGGGATTTTGCTGCTAGTTGTCTGTCTTAACCTAAGATTTATATTATATCCCATTTCTTGACCTCCATTGGTATTGTGCTCTGTGTCTTCCCAGTGGTGTTGGTCTTGGCTGAAATAAATCTTTTGCTGCAACTGTTTTTCTTGTATTTAGAGGTCGGACAAGCGAGAAGTTCACAAGGTCATTTTCCTTTGGCCATATATTGTATCTGTTTTTCATGTTTTCTTCAAAAGCATTACACATATATTCTTGTTAACCATATGGTCCTAACAGTACCATCTAAAAATGAAATTCTGTATGTTTCCCCTAGCACTGGATTCGCTTGGAGATTTTTCCAGATGTTCTTGTTCACAGACTAAAGATGATCGTGGACCCTGCAGACAGCAGCTACATGCCCTCCTTAGTTGTAGTTTCAGGTATGTTTGTTCTCTGAGAAGTCCGAACCCTTTTTTTTTTTGTGCTTAATAGTAGATATTTACCTGGTTTCAGTTAACATAATCAGCTGTTCAACATGCTTAGTGCCTGTTTGTGAAACAAACATCATATCTAAAATGTTTTTTTTTCCATGTTTTCTAGGGGGTAATTCCTTAAATAACCTTATAGAGCTAAAGACAATCAATATAAATCCTACAGACACCACAGTGCCTCTACTCAGTGATTGTACTGAAGTAAGTGAAGTTTGTGTGAGAATTCCTCATGTGCAACAGAAAAATATTGTGCTGCAAGGGATGGATGAAAAGCACTATTGTGATTATTAATGCATGGTATTTATTTTTCCTCTAAATTAGCGGTATTTCTGGCAGTTTAGTGCAGTTAATTATTCTGATGTTTCACCATAATTATGGTGTAACTCTATTGTAAACATAGTAGTAATGATATTTTAGGGAATTTTCATGAAAATCAGTATATCTATGAACTCAAGACATTGCAGTAAACTTAAATTTGGGGATAATTTTGGACAGCAGTTCTGATATTTTTGACTAACAGCACAGAGAAATGCGTAATAAACTTTTACGGGATTGTAAGTGAAATTTTTCTCGAATGAGGCCATGTGTTTATCATAAAGTATGAATTTAGACCTCAAAAGCCAAGTCTTTAAAATTACAGATTCATTTTGTTAAGGTGATAAAGTCAAGGAAAAGTTCTAATTCTTTCCTATGTTTTATGAAGTTACGTAGAACCCAAAAGATGGCAATATAGTTTTTTTTCTTCTTAGTACCACAGGTATATTGAGATTGCAATCAAGCAGTGCAGAAGCTCTGGGATTGATTGCAAAATACATGGCCTCAGCATACTGGGACGTATACGGGCAGAGGATGAAGATTTGGCTGCAGTCCCTTTCCTGGCTTCTGATAATGAGGAAGAGGATGATGATAAAGCTAACACTGGGAGGTAGGTAACTACAGTGGTGGGGGCAGGGGGTAATGATAAAGAACCTACACATTCTTATAATCAGGAGATTATTGTAAAAGTAACTTAATTAGCTTGAATGCTAGTAAAGAGAAATCAGTTTTATTGGAACTGTAAGTAGATCCTTTGTCAATAAGTTAGTTTTTTAAGATTGTCACACTGATTAGGTGGTAGCATTTTATACATCTCGTATGCTTCTGCAGTATACTTGGAGTTGTAAACTGACCTAAAAACTTGATGTGCTTATATTTGTATGTAGCATGTGCGCTCAGCAAAATATTCTGGGCGTTTTTTTAACTGTAGTAGTGTAGTCTGAGTCCTGAAACTGTTCCAAACTGAAAAAATCAGGAAATACAGTAAAAGGTTGCCTATGCTAAACATGCTGTTTGCTAAACTGACTTTATTTTCTTTTCTGAATATGTTCAGTCTTGTCAGAAAGAAGGCAGCTGGGCTTGAATCAGCAGCTACAATAAGAACCAAAGTTTTTGTTTGGGGACTGAATGACAAAGACCAATTGGGAGGGCTAAAAGGCTCCAAGGTATGTTTGTTGTTTTCATACATCAGTACAGAAAAGAAACAGAGAATAATAAAAATGTACAAGTCTCACACAACTAAAATTAATTCAAATTTAGTTAGATTTTTACGGCTTATTGCCAAAAGCTCTGAAGAGCAGATTTGTTACTCTGAAATCTGGTTTGATTTTTAGCAGCCACCTAATCATTCATTTTAGATGATAGTGAACTAATTTTTCTAAAAATGTGTAGCACTCTGTATATATCCAGTTCCTTTTGAGTTTGCATGCATAAAATGAAGATATTGGTGAACTTTTCTATGTATTACTTGTTCCTGGAAATGGTACAGTCATCAGGAAAAAAAACTGAATTCTGATCTAATGATTGGTTTAACTTGATTGCTATTCGATGTAATTCAGGAGGAATTTCAGCCCTGTGTGCAACCATTTAGACATAATTTTTAGTACAATCCAAGATAGGAGATACAAGGCAAATGCTTAAACAATTTAAGATATGATTAATATGAAAGTTATGTTGAGAGCATTTCTTCAATTTATGTTGTAATTCAATTCTTCATAATTTATGTTGTGAATATATACTATTGTGTCTGTAGAGTGCCTTTCAAGAAACAAAATATTAGCCTTTCCTTTATTCTTTGGTTTTCTCAAGAAAACTTTACTAAAAGTAAGTCCTTGTTTATGTCACAGTTCATTTTTTCTCAGGTTTTGTATTTGTCATAGTTCTAGTATTAAATGCATTTTCTTGGTTTTCGTCTTATGCCTGGTGTATATTAACGGGTATGTGTAAGGCATCTGAAAGTACCTGTTAGATTAACTGGTTTATCATGTAAAAGCTCTTCTTTTTAAAGTGTAAAACGTTAAAGTGGAATTTTTTATTTTCTGTCTGCTGTAGATAAAGGTCCCTTCGTTTTCTGAAACCTTGTCTGCTTTGAATGTTGTACAAGTAGCTGGAGGATCCAAAAGCCTTTTTGCAGGTAATGTAAGTTTGAAATAAGTATAATTATCTAAGGCCAGAAGCAGATTTCCAGTTGTGAAACGCTAATGATGTTTCAAACTTTCTTCTTCATTTTAGTGACTGTGGAGGGTAAAGTATATGCCTGTGGAGAAGCCACAAATGGAAGGCTGGGTTTAGGAATATCTAGCGGAACTGTGCCTATTCCCCGCCAAATTACAGCTCTCAGTAACTATGTGGTAAAGAAGGTGGCTGTTCACTCAGGTACTGACTATTGCTATGCTTATATATGCAAACATAACATAATAAGCCTGAACATAGTTGCTTTGCAATTTTCTTGGGTGCTGTGATGCGCCAGCATCACATATCAGATTTTTTGGTTTTTAGATAAATACAGGTTATTAAATTCTGGCTGTTGCAAACAATGTCAGATTAAATCTAATGGTTCTGTTATTAAAATCTATGAATTTAGACCATACATTTTTTCTTATTTGCTGAAACTTAACTTTGGTAATTTTTTTCTGTCTAATTCAGAGAAAGTGTTTTCCTTTTTTAATATTGCTAAATGACAGGTTTGTTTGTTTTTTCCCTTTTTTCTTGCAACACTGAAAATAGAAAATTGAGTGACTTTTTTTTTTTTTTGTAATGTGCCAGGAAACCTACTGTTACAAAAGTTATATATTTTAAATTAAAATCACATAAAAACTTTGAAGAAAATAAGCTGTGTATGGAGTTGGAAGACTCGTACAGTTGCATTGTACATCGCTGTCACATTGTAGCTAGACCTGCTGCCTACTTAAAAGCTCGAATTTAATTTTTTTGTTTACACTTTCAGGTGGCCGACATGCTATGGCATTAACTGTTGATGGAAAGGTATTTTCGTGGGGTGAAGGAGATGATGGAAAACTTGGTCACTTCAGTAGAATGTAAGGATATCAAATTTGTGTGTATTTCAGTAAGAAAAGATTTGTGTTTCATGTTACAGCACAGCTGACCACCACTATAGACAGTAACAGGGTTTTTGATATAATAGGAGTAAAAAAAAAAGTCATGTAAGAAGACTTTATTTTTTTTCAGCACCATGTGCCACTCTTCAGTCATTTAAAAGGGAGGTATTCAATTAATATAATACTTAGATACATATTTACTGGATAAAGTCTTGAGTAGTATTTTGGAATATCACTGATGAAATTGCATGCTTTTGGACACACAGTTTTTGGTTGTTTTTGTAAGGTAAGGTTTTCAGAGGTGCCTTGAGGAGTAAAACCATTGCAGTTTTACGTTTCTGAGCTGTAACAGTTCATAATGTGAGCCTGTCAGAGTAGTTTATAGCACTTTTCTTTAGACTTTGGTTCACAGACTTGTTAGCCAGAAATAAATTTCTTGCACTTTTCAGTAATTCAGAGTTTAATCCTCCTCAAGACAACTTTGAGGAAAATTTGAATTTTCTCAGGATTTTACTCTGTATGCACTCACAGAACAATATTTTGAAAGAAAAAAACCTGATAAACAAAGCCTGTGGGGGAATCTTTGTTTGTCATTCTGATATATTTTGAGGACCTGCTCATAATACATAAAAAATTACAGTAACCCACTCAGATGGTTAATATATTAAAACAAATACATATTCATAAGGTTGTGTGTCAGACTAATGAAAAGGGAAGGTCAGATGAGAGCAGTATTTTTGTTTATTGTTCAAGTGTCTCATGTTTTCTGTAATTTTATTAGAAGTGAGATTTGGAACTCTGGAGCATTTCATGGGAGCAAATTTTCCAGAGACCATGCATAATTATGTAGAACCTTAAAAGTTGCTCTGATATACAGTCAGTATTAGAAAATCTTGAGTTGAATCTTTTCCCTGAATTAAGGGAATATTGTAAACATATGAATAGTAAAAGTTTCCAGTACTTACAAAGAAGCCTAACAGTAAATTCTAGTTCTGATTTCTCGCAAAGAGTAAAGTTGGGATGGGAGTGTCATCTTTTTCTATCTGTCTCTGTCTGCTACTAACAAATCACTCACTTTGGGCAATAACAGGATATTGGTTTTCACTTCATATTATATGCTGTTTAACTGATTCATCACTTTGATATTTTGACTTTGTCACCTAAGTTTTGCAGCATATATATAAAAAACTTCTTGAATTAAGCATGTTAAAATAGTGTTAACTTTAGATTTATGGTGCCACTAAAGAGTACATCTTGGAATCACAGTGTTGCATCTTATTTTATCTTGAGATTGCTATTGGTTATTGCACAGAATTTTTTGGATTATGAAGGTTGGCTTGCATTGTGTGACTGTTTCATAATTAATTCAATGAATTTGTTGTTCGTTTTCTCTAGGAACTGTGATAAACCCAGGTTGATAGAAGCACTGAAAACCAAACGCATCCGTGATATTGCCTGTGGCAGTTCCCATAGTGCTGCTATTACCTCTAGTGGTGAACTGTATACGTGGGGTCTTGGAGAATATGGAAGACTAGGACATGGAGATAATACCACACAGCTGAAACCTAAGATGGTAAAATAAATGTTTCTTGTCTCTGATGAAATGCAAATGTGTTTAATAAATGATACCATTAAGCTAAAGCAACAAAAACCATGAAAACAGTATGAAGATATCGTTTTGGAGTGATCTGAATTAGATTTTGGTACACCTACCTCTAATAACAGTAAAGCTATTTCAGAAAGGCCAAAAAGATCCAGTCTCTTTCTTGAGAAATGATATAAAATGACTAGTGCTGTTTTCAACATTCATGTCCTGCATCTACTTTGATGTGTAGCTGGAAGCTGCTACTGTATGTAGCACTATAGGATTCTGAGGGAGCGTGGCTTGATAGTTCTTTGATCAGGCTGGGCACAATGAACAAGGTTAGTCATAAGACCTTGGAAATGTTTGTAAGGCTTTAAAACACAGGTTTTTTTAAACTTCTTGCTTATTCCTTGTTTTTTGTAGGTTAAAGTGCTGCTTGGCCACCGAGTCATTCAGGTTGCTTGTGGAAGCAGGGATGCTCAGACTCTTGCTTTGACAGATGAAGGTAGGAGTATCATGTTCCAGAAGCTTTCTAGCACATGGGAATACTGTGATCATTGTTTGACCTGAAATTTGGTGTTTGTTAGGTTTGGTGTTTTCCTGGGGTGATGGTGATTTTGGAAAACTGGGCCGAGGAGGAAGTGAAGGATGCAACATTCCTCAGAACATTGAAAGACTGAACGGCCAAGGCGTTTGTCAGATTGAGTGCGGTGCACAGTTCTCCTTGGCACTGACCAAGTCAGGAGTGGTATGGACATGGTATGTTACATTTGCCAGGAACTGCTAACAAAGCAGTTGCTAAGTATGTGTGGCATTTACTGCTATTCAACTGTCTTAACTCCCTTTGTGCCTTATCTGTGCACTCTGATTTTTAAATTGGCAGCTCTTCAAGACAAGCTGTATCTGTTCAATTACTCTAACACTGTCCTGTAGTGTGTTTAGTTGTGTGTTGTATTCTGTTAGAGTGCCTGAGTCTTATGGAATTAGTGGAGGATGGGATAGATCATTCCCTCTCTTCGTTGCAGTGGAACATGTAAAGGAATGTTAATTCAAGACTTTGGAGTGGAATGAGGAAAAAGATAACCTGAGAACTATAGCATGGAGTATGTAGTCTCCAGCTAAAGCAGAGTCTGAGAGTAAGCATACAGTAGAGTAAGGAAGTAAGCTGAAGTACAGGGCAGATGGGAGGAGCTTCCATGGAAACACAGGGTCTCTGTGGAGCTAGTTGCTGCTCAGAAGGCCACTGAGTTGTCAGTAATGGTGCCTTGAAGCAAGAATTGGTAGGAGATGATCATAGAGTTAGTCAGAAACATTTTTATTTTTCTTCTGCTTCTGTGCTTGCTTCTGCTTTGTTTTGAACACAGTTCTGGCTTTTTGAAATTATAAACCTTTCTGTAAAATTTTGGAGCTTACAGCATGGCAGATCAACTTCAGACTTCTAAACAGATCAAGGTCTTACCCCATCTTTGTTATTAAGACTATGGCCCATTTTATGTTTATCAAAGCTAACTAGACTTAAACCCGTCATTTTTGTTATGTAATTTGTCAGTTGTTGCTAAATGATATGAACAGAAACCCACAAAACTTTTATTTGTATAAGTTACTGCTGTTGTTAAAGGGGAGAAAAGTTTTTAGCAGAGATGTTGTTTCTCAGAGTGGTCATTGGAAACTATTTCTTTCTTGCCCTTCCACCTCTTAATTTTTTTTTTTTTTTGTAGTGACAAAAGGGGTAAGAGGAAAGGGAATTTGGCAGTCTTTAAGAACTATGCAAAATGCTTGTTCATTCTTTCTTTGCCCCAGTTTGTCTTAACACTTAGGTCTAGTCAAAAATCTACAGCTATTTCATGACATTACATGTCTACAAGGAGATTTTTTTTTGTGTCTGTTTCAGCTGGGCATGTCTGTGCTTTAGGATGGCTGAGTTGCTTCTAAACTTTTATTCTTCTTGAATTTGTAATGGTTTGAGGAAAAAAATCACAACTTCTGGGTTATAACTTCAGGTAGATAACAGTACTGTATATCATATTTGTCTCCAGAATAATATAACCTTTCCTGAGAAAAATTGGTGGTGGTGGTGGTGAGCAACGGAACTGAGTGAACAGTTACTAAAAATGCAGTGGAAGAAATCTCAGGGTTTCTTCTTTACTGACATTCTTGGTAGAGGCATTTTAAGGTATTTACATTAGTTTTGTGTAGGCTATTTTATTAGTGCACTTTGTGTATAGCAATTTTAGTAGAATTTAAATTATGGAGACTTGAGAACCTATATTGACGCTTCCAATAGTGTGAAAAAACTCAATTCTGAAAGCCTGTTAATTCCTATGTATTTTCTTATGTGACTTCTTAAAGGATCTGTTGTTATTAGGTTTATCCTCAGTAGTATAAATCTATCCAGGTCTTATCAAAACACATGAACTTGCAAGTGTTTATAATTGCAGTGTTTCTGCAAGAGGAAAGTAAAGGTAATCCCAATTACTTTGCATACAAAAAAATCATACTCATGCCTGTTCTATATTGAGGTGAGAAGTTATGGAGTCATAGAACTGCAGTTATCCTCATTCTTAGGCCTTTGTAATTCAGTTTTGAAGAATTTGCTCCTTGCTGTTTGTGTTTAATGCAGTGATAACTGAAGTATTTTCATTCGGGAAGCTGCACTGACAGAGGAATGTGTAAACAGTGTAGTTGTTCTGAATGTTACATTTATTGTCTGTTGCAGGGGTAAGGGTGACTACTTCAGGCTAGGCCATGGCACAGACGTACATGTACGAAAGCCACAGGTTGTGGAAGGACTGAGGGGTAAAAAGATTGTGCACGTCGCCGTAGGCGCACTCCATTGTCTAGCGGTTACTGACACTGGACAGGTACGTTGTGCCTCACCCTCCGTTCCCCTCATTCCTTGATCCAGAAAGGAATAAAGTAAACTGATGATGAAGAAAAACGTAACGGTATTGGTGCTGATTAAATGAAATAAATATTTCTAATTATATTTATTTGCTTTTTAAAGTCCTGCATAAATAAAAGCATGATTGTAATTTAAAATATATTAGCTTTCATATTAGTACTGGAGTTTAAATATTTTTTTGTCGTAGTAGCTTTTGTAATGCTTTCCTTGTATTATCTCATTATCAGTTTCCTGCTTCTTACTCTGAAAATGCAGAAGCAGTCATAGGATTCTGGACAGATTTCTCTGCTGTGATTCAGCATTATCATAGTATTGGTTCAGATCTCCAGTGTAATTACTAAGCAATTAATTCTTCTAACTTACTGTTCACTGTGAACATTCAGTAATTTATGAATCAACTGATCATTTATGAATTGGCAATAATTTATGAATCATCTGATAAAGTACTGCTTTGATTTTTTTCTTCTAATGTATGATAATGCCTGCATTAATGAATAGGGTGGGAAAAAGTCACAGTAGGTTCTAGTAGTGTCCTAGAGTAACAGTACAAGCTACTAACATTCCTTTGTAGGAATTTTTAAGAAAACACTTAAATGAGATATACAGTGAAATCACATGTGGAAATGTTTACTGGCAGGTTTATGCTTGGGGTGACAATGACCATGGGCAACAAGGCAACGGAACTACTACAGTCAACAGAAAACCCACTCTTGTCCAGGGCTTGGAAGGCCAGAAAATCACTCGGGTTGCTTGTGGGTCTTCCCACAGTGTAGCATGGACAACGGTGGATGTAGCTACACCATCTGTTCATGAGCCAGTACTTTTCCAGACAGCAAGGGACCCTTTAGGTGCTTCTTATCTTGGTTGGTATTTGTTGCCTTACATTGCTTTTTTTTTAATGCCATTGGAGTGTTTGTTTTTTGTGTGGTTAGATAGGTGATAGAAGAATGCAAAAAAAAAAAAAGTCTTAAAAAAAATAAAATCACAAAACAACGAAATACACCTTAAAAAAAAAAAGCCAACAAAACCTCTTCCTGAGAGTTGAACTTGTAAAGGACTTGTTCAGAAGTCGTATTCGTTTGAACTTTAATTGTTGTTCAGAAGATTAAAATGCAGCATGATTTCTCAAACACCCCAAAGACTTTGTCTTTATGGTGGTAATGATAGATGAATGCTACTGTAATATTAATCTTTTCACCTGTTACCTTTTGTTTCTAAGGTAAGAGACTTAAGAATTAAGGAGTCAAAACAGCAATTTTTTGTGTTGCATATGAAAGCACAAAACATTTTGCTAATTAAGCTTTTGATGACCAAGGCAATGTATATTTAATATATATTCTTGTTATTTGGGAATGTTTGTGTAAGTAAACCTTGTTTTAGGTGCTGATTACCAAAATATTTTGTTTGTATTACTTAATCTTTGTAAGTAAGTAACAAGTTCAAACACTTATTTTACAAAAGCTCTTGCTGCAAAGCCTCAATATTGACTTTAATATTGTAGCTGTAGGCACTGCAGTTTAAGAATCTACTGTAGATTAGTCATCTTTCTGATTTGACAAGAAATTAGATAAATCAGTTCTAATGATGTATTACACCATTAAAAAATGCTTACCTTCTCTTCCGCCCACCCTCCAGGTGTTCCTTCAGATGCAGATTCTTCTGCTGCCAGTAACAAAATCAGTGGGGCAAACAGTTCCAAGCCAAATCGCCCTTCTCTTGCTAAGATTCTCCTGTCACTTGATGGGAATGTTGCCAAACAGCAGGCATTATCTCATATACTGATGGCGTTACAAATCATGTATGCCAGGTAGGAAACATTTTTGTCTATTGCAGAGCAAAAGATGACACAGCTTACCATGTATTAGGGTCTCTTGAGTCAGGTATAAATTGCTTAACAAGTTTAGACTCCTCAGGATGGGCTTAAGCTTCCTTTAATTTTTTTTTTTTATGTTGATGTTACCTCTATGCTCTTATGTTTACAAAAGTTTAAATTGTCTGGGGAAAAAAACGTTTATTTAAGAATGCTCAAGTGAACAATGTAGAAGCAGTTTAAGTCAGTCATGATAGATAATATGGAGGAAGTAGTTGGGGGCAGGTTGGAAAGAACAATAGAACTTTACAGTGCCCTCATTGTTAGTAGAGAACAGAGTATTTGTGCTAAAATTTATGAAGAGAAACTCAGGTTAAAATAGTGGCCTTAAAACATGGTATTTAATCATCAGGCCCAAAGGAGAAGAGTGATAAACTACTCTCTAAATAGAGCTTGGAAGCCTTACCTTATTTTGTTAAGACAAGCTAATATAATTTTTCAAGTTCAACAAGGGAGTATAGTTAGGTTTATGTTAATCTATCCTAAATGATTTCAGGGATGCAGTTGTTGGAGCGTTGATGCCTGCAAGTATGATTGCACCAGTAGAATGTCCCTCTTCATCGCCAGCCCCCCCATCAGATGCTACGTCTGCAGGAAGCCCTGCAAATGGAGATGAATGCATGCTTGTAGGAGATATAGAAGAGAGGCTGAGCCCAAACCCATGGCAGGACAGGAGAGGGGAGGTAAAGTGTCAAATTATTTTTTTTTCATCAGTTTTTAACAGTAAAGCTGAAAAATATGATCTCCATTAGTTTGATAATAGCAGAGAATGAAAAAATCTTTCATGCTCTAATTTCAGGACTGGGTTCTCTGTGTATGTCAGATTTGGAAAAGCTAAAATTTTAGTGTGAATTCAATTTTGAACTCGCAGAAAGCGTTGTGTCACTTAAATGCAATTATGATGATTTGTAGTAATATTTTAGAGGTATTGAATTTTTTACAGGAGTGATATTAAAAAACAAAGTCAAGAATAAGAGGATATTTGACCATTATTGAATGATATGAAATTATAAACTTAGATCAATTAATGTAGACATGAGGCCCTAAATGAAATTCTACTCTGATTCCCAACTGCTAACAGAAACAGAAAAAAGAAAAGGCTTGCTACTGAAGAGATCTTTTGCTCTAACAAACTAGGAATTTTGACATGTATTATTAGGGGTTGTGTTGTACTTTGTAGACTTTTCTGTAGGCACTGGTGTTTTATTGTATGTTTTTGTAGCAGCTGGCATTGAGGGGGTGTGTTGGCTGTTTTTCTATCTTAGGACAGAAATAGAAGCTAAAAATACAAGCAGTGAATCTGAACTTACAGCTCTTTTTAGATTGCCGCTGTCTTTGAACACTAGCCCTTCTAATGAATAATTAAACTCTTAAAGGTTTTACAGTGTATTGTTGAAGCTTTTATTAGTTATTATTTGTTTTGGCTAGGTTGTTCCTTCAGAAGATGCTGTGACACCGTCTGCTGTAACTCCCTCAGCTGCTGCCGCCTCTTCCCGTCCTTTCATTCCAGTCACAGATGATCCTGGAGCTGCCAGTATCATTGCAGAAACCATGACAAAAACCAAAGAAGTAATGTTGTCAATACCTTCCTTAAAACTTAAGTCCTTACCATGCTTTTATCAAGCAGGGTTTTTTTGTGTGTGTGTGCTTTAAAAATTATTCTGTAAATTACTGCGTATTTTTAAATCTATCTAAAGACAGAGGGATGTTTATTCTTTGTTTTGTAGGATGTAGAAAGTCAAAGTAAGGTATCTGGCCCAGAACCGCAGTACTTGGATGAGTTTACGAGTCTTCTGGTTCCAGATGACACGCGAGTCATGGTTGACCTGCTAAAGCTTGCTGTGTCCAACCGAGCAGGTGAAAAGGGAAGAGATGTTCTTTCAGCTGTGCTGTCTGGCATGGGCACAGCTTACCCACAGGTCAGGCTTTGTTTCTGTTGCATTTTAACTATGTTCTTTCTATTAGTAGCTTTCTAGAATATTTTCTTTTATTGGAAGTACAGCTCAACGCACTGAGAAACTTAATAAACATGAAAATTTGAGTTGAACTTAAATGCATGTAAGCTTTAATAATTTTAATGGAAATACTACATGAATATATGCATGTGCTACAGATGTCAGTAATAGACTAATTTCTCAATTTGTCATGCTGCAGTTAGGCATTAAAATAGAAGCTTAATTAGCGTATTTGTATATTGGCTGTGGTTATTGGAATGAAGCTGAATTAACCAAGCCCTATTTGCTGGATCTGTAGAATGTTACTTTAAAAACTTCCATGGTGGTTTTGCTTTCCATCTGAGTTTATTTCTCAGATTGATGCAGTCATTATTGCTGGCTAAAAGGTCTGTTAATAAATTTTTAAAGATTTAATAATTTTTCTTAATTGTTAAGATTTACATTTAATGCATTGGACTTTCTAACTATTTACAAAGTATCTGTGAGTTTGGGGGTTTTTTTGGCATAGCTGACAAAAAGAATGTTGCAAATGATAAATTATTTATAGAATCTGTGTACAGTAATGAACTGAAAGTTGTTTAATATTTCTTATAGCTTTACCCTTCAAATAGTAGTAACAATTAATTTCTTTTAAGATTTCTAAAACTGTTACTCCCCACCCCCTTAATTTTCATTGATTAGCTAAGTATATTTATGTTGGATTTGAGATGTAGTTTTCCCAGTCCAATTAGATACATGCTATATGTGCACTTATACATTAGTTCTGGGGTTTTTGCTTCTAGCATTAATAGTGAGTAACAGAACAGTTCTTGTTTGCGTGGGGTTTTTGTATTTTGCAGTCAGAATTTTTATTTGAAACTGCTCTTTTAAAATTAGTACTATTGGAATTTTCTCCCTAAGCAGTGATTTGCAATATTACATACTGGTTAAATATTCATACCTTTCATTAATCTCTTGCTCTATGCTTTACAGCTTAGATTTAATAGTTTGCTTTTTCTGTAAGGAAAAACAATTATATGTGTTGTCATTTACTTACTGAAAACTTACATAGTTTGGCTTTTAGTTCCAGGAGTTTTTCTAGCTTTACCAAAAGGAGTATTTCTGAATTAATATCACGGTCCATGAATCAGAATTCAGAAAAAAAGTTATTTTAAATTTGAGAAGAATGGTAGTTGGCTTAGATTTCTTGGACTAATCAAACATACTGTGTGTAAAGTGTATATTTTTCTTTTCTTAGGTTGCTGATATGTTGTTGGAGCTCTGTGTTACTGAACTAGAAGATGTAGCAACTGATTCACAAAGTGGTCGCCTCTCTTCACAACCAGTTGTGGTAGAAAGCAGCCATCCATATACTGATGATACCTCTTCTAGTGGCACAGTTAAAATACCAGGTACAGAGTTCTTAGAGTTACATTGCTAAGATTCAGTTATTTTCCAGCTTGCATGCATTAAGTTGTTCCTTAGCTTGCAAAAATGTTTATTGAGCTTTGAAATGTTACGTATCATATCGCTATAAAAAAAAGTATTTTTTGATGCACTTACATACTGCAGGAACATCTTGATCATATGAAATGTGCATTTTTGGGTTCACTGGCTGTGATTGCACTTGTATATCATTGCTGTTTTCTGTTCATTTACGGAACTGAGAAGGACTGAGTCTTTTTCAGGGTCAGTAATTGAACACTTATTTTCTAGTCTTGAGCAAGGGAGATACCTTGTTTTAACACTTCCTTCAGTAGTGCTTCCTTCAGGAAGTTACCTAGTACTTATGAAGAGTTACAGACAATAAAGAGCTGTTTGCCTTAACTTTAAATAGGCATTTTTTGTCTTTTGCAACTTTAGTTTTGAATGTTCTGATATAGTCTTTTATCTGCTAGCCCCTACTCACATGAGCTTGCTGTGATCTAAGCCTTGGAAAGAAAAGAAATTACAGACAAATAATGTCATTAAACTTAAGGAGGTTATTTTTATTAATGAGTGCTATTACTTCCAAGCAACTCTGTTTGATTTCATGTGGATTTCTAAAATACTGCATTTATTTGTGGTATTGATTGCTCTGTAAAAATTTGTAAACTCTTTGTTGCTGTTTAGGTGCCGAGGGACTGAGGGTAGAATTTGATCGCCAGTGTTCCACAGAGCGGCGCCATGACCCACTCACCATAATGGATGGTGTCAACAGAATTGTTTCTGTCCGATCAGGTTATGAGATCTAGTGCTTTTCCAAAATTTCTTGTGTGGTTTACTGTTAAATGTTGAATGAAATGTACCACTCCCTGTGACAGACTTCTTGTGAGGGATATGCAAATTCTCTTTTAAACTAAAAATGATATATGATCTAGACACAGAGAGTGATCTTGCATCTTTAATTATAGAGAATCTCTCAGAAAAGCATGTTGTGCTGTCCTCTTCTTCCTAAGAGCAGTTAAGGGTGTAAAAATCAGTGTTTAGCACCCCTGCCAACATGTGTGAATGTGTGAATTTCTGTATAATAGTCAAATGTCCAAAATAATAGCTTGATGCTCTCTCTCTGTTTTCTACTCTGGCCTATATATGTGACACTACATGAATTCTTCACATCTTTAATCTTGATATCTCTGATTTAGTTTTTAAGCACTATTAATTTGTAGTAGATTTTAGAAGAACATTTTTAATCTCATCAAATTTTATATTGAAGCTGCCCATACGCTACATCATGTGCAAAGGTCTCAGTAGTTACTGCCTGTGCTTAATATCTCTGGGCAATCGTGATGTGGGCTTTTAGTGTTGACCCATTTTTCCCCACACTGTTTCAGATGCACGTTTCATTATTGAGATATTTCTGATTGGATTCCTGGTTGGAAGCTGTAAAGCTTAATTTAATGTATATGTTGTTATATATTTTTGTAATATGAAAGATAATTTAAAATAGGACAGTGGATTTTAGTAAGCTTTTGTAATGCCTCTTAAATGTGCTAATAAAAGCACTGAGGCTATCTACTAGCAGTGCTAACAGAACTGTTAAAGACTTCAGTTTTGGTTATGTAACATCTTTATAGTTACGTTTATGTGGTTTGCATAGCTTTTTTTCTTAAAAGCATTTATGTAATGTTTATAATGCGTAACCAGGGAGAGAAGTTGCTATGGATGAATGGCTTGCATATTGGCTCAGACAGTATAGATGAATATGTTCATATTACCTACCATAACAGGTCGTGAGTGGTCAGATTGGTCTAGTGAATTGAGAATTCCAGGGGATGAGTTAAAGTGGAAGTTCATCAGCGATGGGTCTGTGAATGGATGGGGATGGCGATTCACTGTTTACCCGATCATGCCAGCTGCAGGTAAGGTGTCACATATGACATTTACAGACAGATGAGTAGATTTTCTTGTCTGCTTTTTACAGTTGCATTTATTGCATGGTATTTACATGCCAGAGTTCAATAGTTCATTTACATTTATACTAAGGAAAATATACTTTCATACTTAGGAAACATTTTCAACTAAGTCCTGAGAAGGCGCACTTGTTCATAGGGAAGAGATAAAAATATTTTGTAATCACTCTAGTTTGCCTCTTCACTGGTGAAGAGGGCACAATTCATCTGAAATGCCTTTATTTTTTTCAATGCATTTGCTTTGAAGTTAGGTGAATTAGGTAATGAAAGTGCCTCTTTCTTCAGTCCCTTCAAAGGGAGGTGGAATGGATCAACTCACATGTAGATTAGCACTCTACAGTGATGTATTTGGTCAGCTAAATCCTGCCTGTGTTCTGTTCTTATTTCAGTCTGAGGACAAACTTTCCCCAGCTTTTTTTTTTTGTTACTTTTTGTTTCTTGCAGGCCCTAAAGACCTTCTCTCAGATCGTTGCATTCTTTCATGTCCCTCAATGGATCTGGTTACGTGTTTGTTGGATTTTCGCTTAAATTTTGCTTCCAACAGGAGCATAGTTCCTCGCTTGGCAGCTTCTCTTGCAGCCTGTGCTCAACTGAGTGCCTTAGGTAGGTATAGTCTTAAAATTAAGTCTGTTTGTTTGAAGTTAAAATTATTGTTTTAAGTAATTACATTCTTTGCGTACTTATTTTTCTTTAGCTGCTGGCCACAGAATGTGGGCCTTGCAGAGACTACGGAAACTGCTCACAACCGAGTTTGGCCAGTCCATTAACATCAACCGGATCTTAGGGGATAACGAGGGAGAGACACGAGCTTTGGTAAGAAGGCAGTGATTCTCTCCTCTTCACAATTTTCACATTAAGATGTATGTGAAGCATTAAATGCTAGCCCTGATGTATGTTTTTTCTATCAATGGCAAAATAGGAAATAGGCAAATGAATAGTTGTCTTTCACAGGTCTGCAAGTCCGTAAAGGTGCTTTATTTTAGGAAAAAAATGGCTAATTCCAAGACTGTGTAGATGTGCTTTTGGAATTGCCAGAAAGTGGTAGAAATACTTTTATGTTAAGAAGCGGATGGAAATAATACTTAGCACAGCTTCCTGTAGTTTGGGACGTTATTTGTGGTTTTATTTCTAAATAATCTACTTTCTGTAATGAATACAGTAAGACTAACTCTCTGGTTCTGTGATGTCCTAGAGTTTCACAGGGAGTGCTTTAGCTGCTTTGGTTAAAGGTCTTCCAGAAGCTTTGCAACGACAGTTTGACTATGAAGACCCCATTGTGAGAGGTGGCAAACAATTGCTCCATAGTCCTTTCTTTAAGGTAATGAAATACAATCATTAAAGAATTCGTTAGAACAGTTCTGGGATTTTTTTTATAAGACATGGTAAGCACACCTAGTCCTATATCAGAAATGTTTTCTGACAAACCCAGAATACTTCTAAAAGGAGAATCAAATATACAAATAAAGGATAAGGAGTACCTAGCTAGGCAGAGGTAGGTAGGTCAGAAAACCATCTTGGAAGTACAGTAGGCTACACTTTTCGATAAGTGATTTCTGAGTTGTCCTAATAGGAGTGTTGTATATTTCTATTTAGTTAGTTAAATACTCTGAAGGCTTTATTTACATCCAGTTGGAACAAATAAGTTTCTTAAGTGGAAGGCTATTCTGTTTTGGACCCTGTACTTCAAAATAAAAATAAACTAGTTGAGGAGATGTAGAGAAGAGCAAGAAAAATATAAGGCTGAAGAAGCCTCCCATGTAGTAAAGTGAAATTAAAGATAGTTTACCTATCTTAACAAAAAGAAATTCTCAAAACTCAAAGGTTTATACAAGGAAGAAGTAATCCATTGTTCACAATATTCATCAGTAACATTGATTTGAAATCGAATCACATTGAAAATCAGTTGAAAATTCATTTAATTGTAGGAAGGGGACTTTAGTTTAGAAATGGAAGGTAAAAAGTTCAGCACATGGTATTTGATATAAAAAAGTTAATTAATCTAGGAGTGTTTTTCCCTGGGAGGTTATGAAAACTTCTGGATTGGAAGAGGAAATTAGGTACATGACATAGTGTGGGTGCACTTGATGTTACCCCATCAGTGAGGGTAAGGAAGATGACTATTACTGTCCCTTGCACTTTATGTGTCTTTGAGACCATGTTCAGGCCCTACTGGTCTTTGCACTGTTCAACTGTATCAAATGCATATTAATTTTTATTGCGCATTTTTGATCCATCCCTAAAATATTTTTTGATTGTCTGCAGGTGCTTGTGGCTTTGGCTTGTGATCTGGAGTTGGACACACTCCCTTGCTGCGCAGAGACGCACAAATGGGCCTGGTTCAGGAGATACTGTATGGCATCCAGGGTTGCTGTGGCTCTTGATAAAAGGACACCATTACCTCGCCTTTTCCTTGATGAGGTACCGTGGGAATACTTTAAATGGTTAATGGAACATGTGAAAGTGTTTTGTGTAAGAAGATACACTGAGATTGAAGTATTTTATGCGAACTGCAATAGGAGTAACTGATAATTTGAATAAGGTTGTTTAATACAAAATATTTTACAGGTGGCAAAGAAAATCCGAGAATTAATGGCAGATAATGAAAATATGGATGTTCTTCATGAGTGCCATGATGTCTTCAAGAGAGAACAGGATGAGCAGCTTGTCCAGTGGATGAACAGGTTATTTCTTTCAGCTGTCACTGGTTTGGTCTTGTGATGCTTTTTTATTGTACAATGATAAACTGCATTTTCTGTGACTTTTAAAAAGCTCTTTTAAGATTGTGTTTGTTTTGCGTTTTCTGCAGGCGACCTGATGATTGGACACTTTCAGCTGGAGGCAGTGGAACAATTTATGGTTGGGGTCATAATCACAGAGGACAACTTGGTGGAATTGAAGGGGCAAAAGTCAAAGTCCCAACTCCATGTGAAGCTCTTGCTACCCTTAGACCAGTGCAGTTAATTGGTGGTGAACAGACTCTGTTTGCAGTGACCGCTGATGGGAAAGTAAGGATGCAACAAATGGTTGTTTGTTTGATTCCCTTGAAATATTTCATCATCAGTCAGAATGGGTTCAGACTAAATGAAAAATAATGTGCATAGCACAGGTTTATTATTAGTATTGGTAGTAGTAGTTTTGTTTTATTATTTTGAAGAATCTGAACTGTACCAACTCCACCTGTGCGTTCTAAGAATGCAGTGTACTGTGGCATTAAATGCGTGAAACAAGATGCATATTTTAGTTCTTGGTTCAAAAATGTGATCAGATTTTGGAAAACAAAGCTGGGCACAAGCAATGTGCTCACAGAGTTCCATGAAACAGGACAGACAGTAAAATGTAATGATGATTATATCTCTCTAACAGGGGAGAGGTATAATCTCAGATTATTCACATTTGGCTAAATGTAAATTAGATATTGCAGGATCCAGTTTGCAGATGCTTAAATCCTGAGCAAAAAGGAATCACAGTGCAGAAGTTTAGTGTAAGGTATAGGAGAAAAAAATAAGTTAATGAATTCGAAAAGTCTTTATTTTTATACAGATGGCAGCTCTCTGTTTAGGACATGATGGAGAATTTTAGCTGGAGCTTTGTGTAACAGTTACATTCATCTAGTAAAGTACTATAATGATTCCTTGGGATCAGTATTGTCCTTGTTAATTATTCAGAGAAGGGTAAAGGGCAGATTAAATATATTTATTGACATTCTGTTGAAAGAAATTATTGTCAGAGAGACAAAAAGAGTGAAAAGCACTACTTAGAACAGTATTTACGGGATGGAAGGGAAAGTAGCAATTGTGTTTAGGTGTATGTATTCTGCCGAAGAAAGAACATTAGAATAGTGGTGTTGGAAAGAGAGCTACAGGTGATAGTGATAGATGATTTTGTGATGTTATATTGCAAAGCTATGGTTTCTTGATAGTTTTACAAAACAAGCTTTAGGATTTGAAATTAAATCTGTTAAGTCAGTGAGACTTCTTCTTGGCTTGAATGTAGCCATATTTTCTGAAAGCTTTTGTGAAATATTTCAAAATATTTCTTATATTCCAAAAGATAGAAAATAGAAGTCCTGTAAGAAACTGTTTTTTCCAGACTTTCCTTTAACTGTATTCTGGCATACATACTTAAAGAATTCTTCTCTACATCTCCAGTCAATGTTCTGCATGAGGCAAATAAAATTAAATTTTATTCTTTACCCTAAAGCTGTATGCCACTGGATATGGAGCAGGTGGTAGGCTTGGAATTGGAGGAACAGAGTCAGTTTCTACTCCAACTTTACTGGAATCCATTCAACATGTGTTCATAAAGAAAGTTGCAGTGAACTCGGGAGGAAAGCATTGTCTGGCATTGTCTTTTGAGGGAGAAGTTTATTCTTGGGGTGAAGCAGAAGATGGTAAACTGGGTCATGGAAACCGAAGGTAAGTAACACTCCGATATGTTATTTTAAAAGAAACTATTAATGGATACTTATTATAGTTACTATGTATTAAAAGTGCTATGTGAGTACTGCCTACGTGCAGAATTCAGCGTTAAGTAGTGATGTGGAAACATATATTTTAAAATTGGAGAGCCACGAAGTATTTTTCAGATAAGCAGTTACTCTGATTTCTGTATTTAGATATCATCTTCTAACAAACATATCTGTGGATGCTAAAGTTCAGTGGCTTTCCTTTGAGATCTGTCTTGTAGGTAGGTATGTGGAACCTTTTGGGAGCAAAACTGCCATTGTCCTGTTTTCCACATGCACTGTTACCTACATTAAGTGAGAAGTTTTATTGTGTTAGAGATAAGTGTTCTGATCCAAAAAGTAAAAGGAATGCTCAAGTCCATGGGGGCAACACTATGTGTTTTATACTAGTATGTTTTATAGTAGAAATGGTCTGTTCTGAAAGATTTGTCCAGACAAATGTTTTTATTTCAGCCCTTGTGATCGTCCTCGTGTAATTGAGTCTCTGAGAGGTATAGAAGTGGTTGATATTGCTGCTGGGGGAGCACACAGCGCTTGTATTACAGCTGCAGGAGACCTTTTTACATGGGGAAAGGGAAGATATGGACGCCTTGGGCATGGAGATAGTGAGGACCAACTAAAACCTAAACTGGTAAGAAACCTTTGGAGTATTACAGTCTTAGTCCAGTTCATACCTTCTGATTTGTAACTTTTTGCATTTCTGCATATAGAGAATGAAAAGGCAAAACAGTGACATGTATCTATAAGAAATTAACAAATTCCCACACCTGGAAGCATAAAATGAAAGAGGAGCTCCACACTTTGTGGCTTTTAGTGTTCACTAAACAGCTTACAGGGAATTTCTTTTAGAGAGGTTTAAAGAAAACCCCAAATCAAACACCCCACCTCTCAGTAAGTAAATTTCACCCTTTCCCAGATGTAGTTTGCACTGAAAGTGAGTTCCTTGTCTTCTGGGTCTTCTCATTATTTACTTCCTGGAAAATACAACAGTGTTTACAGTGATAGCCACTTAGTCACTTACAAACTACTTTTTTCTCCTGACATAATAATGATACTCTTGATTCTCATGATTGAATACTGACATGTTACAGAAGTATACACTAAGTTAATAAGAATTTAATAAAGTAATTATGAAGTATTTAATTGCTATTTGCTAAAGTAAGTTGAGTTAAGCAGTTTTTGATGAAGAAGATTAAGTAGTAAATATAAGAACTTGGACAGTATGGAATGTAAGAAGAATGAGTATACTGATAAATTCAGACTTGTACTCGTGAACTAGGAGCTTTTAGCCAGAAATAGTGGTATTAAGAAAATTTCCCTGCCTTTTAAATGAGAGTTCATTTTGCTACCTGCATTCTCTTGCTGAAAATACAGCAAAGGCTAAGATTGTGTTTTTTGACTCAAACTGAATGTTAGTTTGTTATTTTTATTCATAGCTCTGTGTATATATTTCTATTCATATGAGCATTAACTTTTTCCAGTGTTTTAATTTGTGAGATGAGGTATCATACATTCTTAGTCCTCTTTGGGACCTTACCACCTGTATTCGGATGTTCTTGTTCCCCTGGCCCCAAAAAAGCAAGGCTTGCCCACCTTTCCTTTTCCCCCCTCCATGTTCTTTGGTAGTACAAAAATAGATAACCTGTAGATGAGTTGAAGTATGTGAAGTTCCATGCTGCTTTGGGTAGTGCCACCTATAATCTATTTCAAGTAGTTGTGAGGATGGGAAGGATGTGATGTATATGTGGGTCACTAAGCTTTTACTTTGTGATTCCAAATCCCATACTTCGTCACTAGATGGCACCATTTCAAAAGACGTTGATTACATTCAGGTTATGATGCAAGTGCTCAAAAATTGAAAACTAGTAAAAGACTATTTGAAAACAAGGCTTTTTCTTTTTCCTCTTACTATATTTGCCCAGAGAGCCTGAAATTATTTGAACAGAATATAGTCTTTGATAACCTTAGATATTTTGTATTAATTGTTTTCCCTGGCATTTTAGGTCAAAAAATTTAACTAGTTCACCAGTTAAAATAAATAAATCCTGTATTTAAAATGCATAGTTAGTTTTCATTTTGCTGTTTTGAAAAGAGCAAAGCTCTTTGAGTTGCCTTTATTTGCTTATGCCTCTGCTGTTTCAGACTTGTAGTTCCACTGAACCACTTCTACAAGTTGGGTTTGTCATCTTTTCTGAAACTAAATGAGTGAGTCTTTTGTTGTGAACAAAAATGGGTGATTTTGTTACAGGTGGAAGCTCTCCAGGGTTACCGTGTGATTGATATAGCCTGTGGCAGTGGAGATGCACAGACGTTGTGCCTGACTGATGATGATACAGTCTGGTCCTGGGGTGATGGAGACTATGGAAAACTTGGGAGAGGAGGCAGTGATGGCTGTAAAGTACCAATGAAGGTATTTCAGTGTAATTTTTTCGTTGCTTTAGAAACCAGGATGTTGGTGGAGAACACTGAAGACAGATTTGCCAGTATGTGCAAACTTTGACCCATCCTGGGACATCAGGATTCTGCTGCCTGTCATTAAGATGAACTTTATAGGCTACAATAACAAGTCTTTGAGTTTTGTACTGACTGATGAAGTTGCACTTGAAGGTTTTTCTTTGGAGGGCATTGCTGGTTTGAGCAGTATTTATCATTTTAATTTTGGTTCCTGTCAAAACATTACATTTTGCCAAAAAATCTTCATGTTCATTTGTGTTAATAAATTTCCATAATACTCCTGAAATCATAAGTTCATTCCAGCAAGGGGTATCAATTAGTTGAAAAATAATCTTACTTATATTAAACTTACATTAAACTTTATATTAAACCCTTCCTGTGAATGCATGGCTGACTTGGAATTTCTTCATGTTACAAATGAAATCAGTGTAGCAATCAATTTGAGTTCCAGTACTTACTATGAAGACGAATGTTGCTTGTGTGTGAGAAATGTGTGTTTCATTGTGTATGCCTATGCACAATGGATTTTAGATTCTAAATCCAGAATCACACTTTATTACTTGGATAGAGGTATCCCCATTCAGTCTCCAAATGTTTCCAGCATGATGTAACATGATGTGAAAATAGTTTGTTTATCTTCCGTCAGTCATCAGTCCCATAGGATTGACGGTAAAGCAGCATAAGGATAATAATAAATAGGAAGAGTCTACTGAAGGTATAAATATTTTTATTATGTCAGCAGAATCACATCCTTGTCATACCAGCTGGGGATGATTAATGTTGAGTGTTTGCAGACAAAGCCTTATCATTTCTACTTGGGGTAATTGCCAAGTAACTATTGGAAAAACATACCAGAGATGGATCTTCAACAGTTTGTGAAATTTGAACTTCTTTTTGGTGTTTAGGTGGTAAACAGTAGAAACATGAAGGGAGTAGAATTCTTCTAAATTATCTACATAAACATTTTGATTTGTAAATATATGTACAGTTATACATTTGGACACTATATTTTACTTAAGACTGTGCAGTCTATGAATTTATAGCCTCCTTAATTAACTCTGATTTGATTTGATATTATTTTTTTAGATTGATTCCCTCACAGGCCTTGGAGTGGTTAAAGTAGAATGTGGATCACAATTTTCTGTGGCCCTTACCAAATCTGGAGCAGTGTATACCTGGTAAGTATTCTATATTAGTTATTTTGACAGTATTAGATGTAACCTTGTCTGTGACAGATATTAGTAATACACTGCCTTCACTGTTTTGATCTACCCCATCAAAAATTTTCTGAGTTCCTCTGTCTTGATTAGTAATCCACTGATGTTCTTTGGGGAACATTTTGTAGTGCTGTGAATGAAAAATCCAAGTATTTTGTTTTGGAGACAGTAGAATTATAAGCATGAAATGTCATGCAGGGTGGAAGATGATAGCATAAATAACATTCTCATGTATTATCAAAATTGTGTCTAGCTTGTGGTGGCTGCAATGTGAGAATTTAATTTTAGAGTTCATTGTTTTAATCTTCCTACACCACTCCGAATTTTATCATTTAAACTACTAGACTAAAATGTTTAAAAAGACTAAGCAAAATACCTTCCCAGCTTGCCTCTGCCACCTTTCTTGTGTGACATTAGATATCCTTAAACTGTACAAAGTTCGAGTCTCTGAGATCAGTAAACGTACTATTTTTGCAGATAAATGGTTCTAATACTTGACCCTTTAAGAAGAAAAAAATAAACCACCCCCTGCAAAAGTGTTAAAAGGACCTATGCAGAATAAGTAGGAACAGCACAAGAATTTGTACTGTGTAAGCAGAATCACATTGATACAAAATAGGGATGATTAAGTTGAATATTTGGAGAATATTTTGATATTGGACTTTATAAGTACATCTGCAGAGCAAATATCAGACATGGTCTGTCGTTTCATTTTTTCCACAATTAAAACAGAATTTTGAACTTTTTTACTCTTCTCTGTGCAGGGGCAAAGGAGATTATCATCGCTTAGGCCATGGATCTGATGACCATGTTAGAAGACCACGACAAGTGCAAGGACTGCAAGGAAAGAAAGTCATTGCAATTGCTACAGGGTCTTTGCACTGTGTTTGCTGCACTGAAGATGGTATAATAATCAAATAATTTTAGTTCTTAGCACTGAATTTGAATAAAATGAAACTTTATCCTTTAGTCAGGTGTTGGTAGGTTGTCCTTGCTAAAAACACTGGTTCTCTGTGTGCATGGATACATTTTATGTTTGCAGATGTTGGGTGTTTCTTAAGCAGCAAGCATGATGTTGATTTAAAGTGATCACATAAAACTAAATTGATGAAAATTAAGGAATTCAAGTTGCAGAAACATTGATGGTCAAAGAAAAATATGGAACTCTAAAAGTAATTACAGAATGATCAAGCAGTAGCATTGAATGCATTCGGCTTTTTTTATTTTTTGCAGAGTCTTGTGGACTTGCTGAAGTGTTTAACTTGCTAAATGAAGCATTTCACAAACAATATTGCTTCTTACAGAGCAGGCTGAGATACTGAATATCCTTTGTAGCAGACTCACTCCCCCATTTAATTAACAAATCTGCACAATAGCTGAGTGTTTTATGGGTGCTAGTGAAATATAACTGCAGAAAATGAATGTGAATAGTGAATATAGCAGCAGAAAATGAATGCTCAGGATCAAGGTTGTTACTTTAAAAGTATTTTCCAATTATCTTGCAACTGTGAGCACCTATTTTAATGTCCTTTCTAGTAATATAACTTATAGGATCTTCTGTCTCATCTAAAATGTTAAGCCTTTTTAAATTCTTTTTTTTTTAATATTGGCTTTGTTTTTTTCTGTGAAATTGTGTTTCTGGTGTTCTGTTGTTCTTCTGCTCCACCTTTTTCTCCTATTCTGAACAGAACTCTTTAATTATACAAACTACTAGGAAAGAAATGCATCTTATGCTAGCTGCTCTACATAGACTGCAGACCTAGATATGTCATTGAAGATTTATCTGTACTAGATAGTGGATTTCAGGATGGCCATCAGTCCTAGAAGTCTTGATTACAGCCCAAGACCTCATTCAGTTAGATGTTTTATAAATACTAATTTAAAAAAAAGAGCAAAAAGCTTGTATATTAGCTTCAGAATGATCAATTATTTTTATTGATTTAGGGGAAGTGTATACATGGGGAGATAATGATGAAGGGCAGCTTGGAGATGGAACAACTAATGCCATCCAAAGACCGCGCTTGGTTGCAGCACTTCAGGGTAAAAAGATCAACAGAGTAGCCTGTGGCTCAGCACATACTTTAGCTTGGTCAACCAGTAAACCTGCTAATGCTGGCAAGCTCCCTACACAGGTAATATATTCGGCTTATTGAATTCAGATTTAAATGTACTTCGTATGCTTATATGCTCTTTCAGTTGACGTATTTCCTTTTAAATCCCTGCATAAGCTTAGTGTGCTTTGATTTGGCTTCATGTTTGAGCCAGTTACTTTGTTTTACTTTTGTGTTTTCAAAGGATTCTGCTTTTCTGAGCTGAAAAAGCATCTTCATTCAGGTTTTAATCCAAATGCAGAACAGTAACTGAGTTTGTACATTGGCAGGAACTTAATTCTGTATCGCAGCTATGAAAATGTTATACCTTTCAGTGGAGTTCTTTGTTGCTTGCTTTATGTTGAGAGGATTGTTTTTTGAATATTTTTTATTTCAGCTATAAGACCTGGGTGTAGTGATGACAAGATGTAAAATGTGTTTGTTCTTGGATAAATTGTAAAATATGGAATAGCACTTATATTCTAGCCATCATATTTTTAATACTTGTTTCAGTTTAGATGGATATTATTGGTATCTTTTAGAAACAACTGAACTCCACGTATTAAATTTTGACAGTATGAATAAGCAAATATCCGAATTTCTATTACAAATTTATCTACAAATGTAAAGGTTGTTGTTACATTTAATAAAATAAATTATATAATAATTCTAAATTACATTTAGATATCATTGCTTTATCATAGGTTCCTATGGAGTACAATCATCTGCAGGAAATTCCCATCATTTCATTAAGAAACAGGCTTCTGCTCTTGCACCACATTTCAGAACTCTTCTGTCCTTGCATTCCAATGTTTGATCTTGAAGGAAGACTTGATGAAACTGGCCAAGGACCCTCGGTTGGGTTTGACACATTACGGGGAATACTGATATCACAGGGAAAGGTATTTTATCAGAGTGTTTTTTAGGGAGAGATTTGTAACTGTAAGTGTAATGTACTGTTTGAACTCTTTCTGAAGAAAGAAGATATATCTCAATTTGTTCTGTGAGTTGTATCTCAAATATTTGCATTCTGATGATGCAGACTTCTTTGTGTTCTTTCTACTGTGTTTTTCACAGTTCAACATAGTGCTTTTGTGCGTTGATCTTGACAATAACTTTACACTGTAAATCTTTAGTTTGTAGTATAGTTGAATTTTTCTAGAAAATTCAGTAGATGGTTTCCTGGAAAAAATGTGAGATAGTAGACAACTACCAGTTCATACCTGTTTGCATTCCTCTGTCAAGGTCAGGTGATATACTAGTTGATCCAAAGCTCTGTGCAGGTACAAACTTGTTTTATTAGACAGCTAAAAATGAGAATAGAATACCTAAGAGTTCAATCCCAAATTGCTAATGAAAGTGGATTTTTATGGTTATAAGTAAAGTCAGTCATGAGAAAATGTAGATAATTCTAATGCTTTGAAGCTGCAAGACTTACTCAAAACTTTAGATATGGTAAGCCTGTGAAAACATGACTTGCCTTCAGTATAATCATTAGTTTTGGATCTGAATTTTCTCACTGTCATAGTAATTTGTCTAACTGAAAAAGAAAACGTTATATAAAAAGAAAAAACCTGCTGGGAGATATCTTTGAAAAGAGAAGCAGTTAAGTTTCCCCCTGCAGTGCTGTTCTATGTCCTTAAACAAGACACACGGCCTGTAACTAGACTCCTTAGCGCATGTATTGTCTCAAGGTCTCTTTTTCTAGACTCCAGTAAAATTTTGTAGTGGAACAATCAAGCTGTATACATACTTCACAGATCAAGGGAAGGCAACACATTTTTCATCGAAACCTACACTAGAGAAAAAGGAAACAGAAATCCTAGCTGTTCTGTTCATGACATGTTAGTGCTATTAATTTGCAGTCCTTACGTATATGATGTTACGTATAAGAATGGGTGTGCAGGAGGCGAATTCAACCTCATTTACTTTCAGTCTGCAGAATAGTTACAGAAAGGTTCCACATATAAGATAAAATGTGATATCAGGTATATTTTACGTCAGAAACATTCAACAGAGGCAGCAGCAGTTGCAATACCATATTCATATCTAGACATCTAAGTCAGACTTACTGTCAGAGATTCTAAAGACTTAAAAATCTTCTTAATCTTGCTTGAAACTGGCTGTAAAATCAGATCCAAATATTTAGTGAGAGAACCTAAGATATTTGAATTTGCATAAAAAGCTTTTTTTTGCTTTCGTGGTTGTCGTTCTGTGACATTAATTATTCTCCATATACATATATAATTCTGGTATAAACTAATTTATACCTGTACTCATCAGTATGTTGGTTGCTTAATAATAAGTGAATCTGGGGGCAGGGCAACCTTTCAAGCCATGATTTTGAGTTATACAGGAGGGACTTTCTTCTTTACTTTTTTAGTATCCCCACTGTTTCAGATGTGAATCCTATTAGTGCAAATAACATGATCCTTGACTAACATCTCACAGCTTTATCTTCTGTTGATTTTGTTTGTTTTTAATATGTCAAAACTATTTGATGCTTGTTTTATTTCTTCTAAAGAAGACTCAGATGTGTGATGCCTTTTCTAGTGTTTTGTTGTGTACTCAGAAAGAAATTGGTGAAGGATAGCATAGGTAGTTTCTCTATTCTGTTGAGTCTTTTTTTTTTCTGAGTTGAACTAAGTATGTGTTTATCTGTGAAATATGTTCAGCATTCTTATTTGATTGCAGTTTTGCCACTATCTTAACTTTTTGTACTTTCCTTTTTTTAGGAAGCAGCTTTCAGAAAAGTTGTGCAAGCAACTATGGTGAGAGATCGTCAGCATGGGCCAGTTGTAGAGCTCAACAGGATACAGGTATCTGATGCTGAAGTTTCCATGTACTATCTATATGTTTAGCCTGCAGTGCTATGTTGATCAAACCCCTTTTTTCAGCTGTTTGGTATCTGAGTACTGAAGAGTTTAATTTTTATCAGTGAATCAAACAATGAATAACTTAATGTAGGGCCTACTTATTTTTAGTATGTTTTCATCCACACTGTAGTTGTTCGGAGAGAGGGGGGCACTTTGTGAAATGTTAAGTGAATGGTTTAGACTCTAATGAGCAAAGTATGTCCTGCTTGACAAAGGACTGCTTTTTCAAAACTAACTATATTAGATAATTTAAGAGAACAGAGATTCTGGTGCTTTTCTTACCTTTCCAGATGATCAGCTGAATTACTCAGCTGTTGCTTTCATAAGAGAGAACAGGAAGGGCAAAAAAAAAAAGCAAAGGAAAATAACCTTTGAATATAATTAAATATCAGGCTGATAAACTCTTGTCTGTTGCTGGTCATCACATGTGGTCATATTGATTGCAGAACTCTTTGATACAGAAGTGCTTTTTTCCTTATCATTGACGTTAGAAAATGTAATGTTGTGCCTTAGGCCAGATGTGTCTTTTTTCCATAGATATTTCTGTAACATAGAATAGTAAACCATTGTTTTCATTTAAATGGACTGAAGCCTGATCTTACAGAGTCCTCATGCATTTCTTTTCTTTAGTCCTGCTTTCTTTTTTCTTTCTTTTTTTCCTGGTATATTGGAAAAAGTAAGAACATCTATTTGTAAGGTTAAAGTGGAGAGATTGTGAAAATTTTGACTGATTAGTTTTCTTTTAGTGAACAGAAATACACACTGTTGTGGCTGTTTCTACTTCTTTGCCATTTTCTATGTGCACTTAAAATTTTTTTGTAGTAATGTTCTGTGATAAAAATGTGGTATTTTAGTTTATAGTGCCAGAGATTTTCTGATTACTTTTTGTGTTTGTATTCAGAAAGTTCAATAAATTAGTGAGTGCAACCATTTTAGGCAGGAAACTAGTGAGTAGGTTTTGGGCTCATTTGCTATTGTCCTCCTTAATGAACTGTTGAGTTCATTAATTGAGATAGGCTTTCTCATGTATTTTTGCATGTTTGTTACTTAAATCTGTTTTGAACTCTAGAAATGAATTGGTAGCTTCCCTTCTTCTGTGGGAAATGAAATACTGCTTTAACACAAGTCTTTCCTAGATTTAGCCAAGTGAAGGCTAAAAAGGGCCTGATTACATATCTAGCCTGATTACAGTGTACAAAGGATGGCTCACAATTTCTTGAGTTATCTTTTGCTGAGAATGAGAATGTGGATTCTTATTTGATCCTTTATAATATTTAATTGAAGATTCAAAGCTGCCTTACATAGTCGCAAAAAAACTAATTGTCAGTTTAAAAATGTTCATCTTATTTGCAGTTGTAAGTTAAAAGTGCAACTAGGCCTTAAAATGCCTTTGCTTTCAGAAAACTGTTCTTGCAGTTTATAGATATATGGTGCAGTCAATTCACTTCATCTTCAATTGTATAAAATAAACAGATGAGTTTTTAATTTAAAGTTGTTTTCCAGATATTAACTTGTTTTTTTAAATACTTCCTTAGCATCCCTTGCTGTTCAGTGGTTTCTTTGGAAGTACCAGAACTGGACATAACAGCTGTCTAACTTGCAGTATAAAACCAGGCAAAACACCACTCCCTTGTCCTGAGATCAAGGGTTACATGGACCAGATTCCTTTAGAGTAGATCACATTCACCTTACATACAGCTCGGTCCTGTTTTTTTTCTGTTGGGAGTCTCCTAAAGGTGGGACATCATAGTTTTATGTAGTTTTCCTGCTCAGAGTGTGTGAAATACAATGCGATGGCTGTACTGTAATTCAGCCAAGTGCCAGCCTGGTGTTTCTGTAGCATAAAATTGAGTGTAGATATTTTATGCTTTGAGGTGTAGCATAAAGGAGTGTAGCTTGAATGCACAGAGACAGTTTGGGATGCTGTTGGAGGACTGCATAGGGCATAAAACCCAAATTTGATGCAGTTTTATCCATAGTAATTTCTGGGAATAGTCATTAAGTGAAATGTTCCAAAACAGCATCTGGGCCTTATTCTGGAAAGGTGTAATAGAAGTAGTCCAGAAAATGAACTAACAGTTATATGTCTAGACAGGGTTCCAGTGCTCAGGTTTGCTTACTGACCCTCTTACTAGCAGATCAGATTTATCCAGTGTTTAAGTACGGGTGTAGCTTGTAGCTCGTGTGGTGTCGAATGGACAGTGTGTTATGACCTATAGACAGACACTTTCAGAATGCTGTTAAAACGTATCTTTCCACCGCAGTTGAAAGGAATTCCTTCCTTTTCAAAAGGAAAAAAATTTCAGTTATGAAGGAGATTGTCTGCTTTCATTAATGTAATACTGCAAGGAATCCCCTGGTTTAATGTTCTCTACTGTCTCTCCTTATTAAATGTGGGTTATAGAAATCTCAATAACATGATGAGTAAAAATGATCTGATCTTAAAGTAGGCACAGCATATGAATGAATGATTTGTTCTTTTTTGAGGGTTATATTTCAGTTTAAATATCATTCTTCCGTCCTGATTTCGTCGTCTGCCTTATAAAATGTACTTTTAAAGAACTCTTACTTCATGACAGCCTTCATTTTACTACCCTGATCAAGCTAAGGTTTTTTGTTTGCTTGTGTAGAGTAATCTTTTCTTTACTCCTTGCCTTTTTATACTCTTATTTTTTCTGTAGCATTTCATTTTGAACATAGGTAACTGAAACTCAATGTACGGGTGAGACTATGTCTGTGCTCTTATAATTATTACACTGAAACTTCACTGGCTCTTCTGGAGATTGATTTCGTGACATATTCTTGATTTGTGTTCGTTTTCTTCATAGATCTGTCTTGTCCGTGAACTGTATATATTTCTCTTTCTTGGCTGATTTCTACTGAGAAGCCATCATCTTTTTGTAAACTTTTTTTATTAGTGTACAGTTGCATGGCTTTATGTACTACATTTCTCCCAGCTTCTATGGGTTGAAGAGAATCTCATAGAATGGCCAATATTTTGATGGGTAATTTCAAGCTGCTTTAGACAAATACAAAGTTTTGTGATTCAGAAAAAGAACTTAAATTTTGTTCTTCATCACTTGAAAACACTTTAACCAGCTTACAGATTGACTTGAGTGACTCTCCCCCTTTGTTGCAATAGTGCTGCTCACAATAAGTGATTATTCATTAGGGCAAGTTCTTGAATTTGGTTCTTCCACACTTCACTGAATGCTGCTTCTGAGCTGCCTCATTTCCTCCGTTGCAAGAATGGACAGTTTTCCATAGGTTGGTATCTTCTGATGGAAGACTGTTTTATGAAAATCCTTCTTGGGTTCTAATTAACTTATTAACTTGTTTTATGCTAAAAATTATCTGATCTGCAAGAAGGCTGGAACTGTATTTTAAAAAATTGAGATGATGTACAATCTGTGTTTAATAAGGGATGATTTTGAAACCTGAGCAAGATACTGTGCTCTGGACTTGTACAATAAAAAGCAAAAATACCTGTGGTGGATTGTGTATTTGTATGAATTTTTGCCGTTTTTCAGTGAAGTGTTTTACTCTTTGCTAGTAACCTAAAATAACTTATTATGGGCATCTGTCAACAAGCAATATAGTAAGATGCTGGCAGAAATGCCAATAATCCCTCATGACATTCTTAAATTGCTTTGTTAAAAGTCAAATTTTAATCGTTCCTGCATCTAAATTATCAATCAAATGAAATTTAAGTGTTAGGAAATAAATACTAAATGGAATGTGTAAAAGCATGTGCATTCCATCCTATTCAGTTCAGGCAGGTGTTCTTCCGTTTTTATTGTCACTTGATTAATTTGTTAAGTGTGAGATTTGAAAAAACAGTGAATTAACTGGTGCTTTCATAGACCTTCTATTCATACTTTCTTCTTTTTAAGAGAAGACTCAGTGACTTAGTTCTCAACATAAAACTTCTTGGGCATACAAATTTCTCAGAAGTCCACTGAAATAAAAACAGCTTGTGTTGATAGAGAACATCTTACACATGAGGAAGATTTGGGTGTGTCAGTCTTTCAGTAAAACCTGAAAGAAATGTGATGGTTGTTTTATCCAAAGCCATCAGAGCAACTGGATTTTGAGATGCACTATAGCTTGTAGTGGAACTAAATACAGGTTAGTGGGATGAGTCTGATTTATTTCTGAATGAACAGTCTCACGGATATCGGTGAACTGTGTGCACTGTAGGAGTTCCTTTGCAGTCAGAACAGGTTGAGAATATAACCTGCAGAACAACAAGGGGAAAAAAATACCTTGTGTTTCTCCAGCCCTCTATTTACTTTCCATTTCTTTCCTTTCTATACTGGTGAAATGCTTTTTATATTCTTACCATCTTTGTGTGCATCTCTTGCAGCAGAATCCGTGGGATTTTCCTTGCATGCCAATTCTTATGAATCTTCATCAGCTCTTAAAATACACTTTTTCTGTAGGTGCCTTAGAACACGTTACCTTTGTGTCTATGTGCATATGTATTTTGGTAGCACTTACTCATTGTTAGAGACTCCTAGTAAGTATCATAGATGCATATTTAGTTCTTATCATTAACTATAGACTAACATTAACTATATAAGACTAACACATATTCAGTTTACTGGCCAACAACACAGCCTCTGATCTGTCTCATATGAAAAACTTACCCAGATTTGTCAATTGACTGCGTGAATAGAGACAGGATGAACATTACAATCAGAAAAACTGAATTTGCTGATGCATTGGCTACTTCTTCAGAAATAAGGAGAGAAGTCTTTATCATCAGACTTTATCACTGACATCCCTCTGTCTTTTCATTTTCTTTTAAAAATAAACAGATATAGTGCTGAATAGTGACAGATGAACAAAGAACTGTTTGAAATGAAAGATAAGAAAGGTGTTGGTTGTTGAGGGTACTGAGAATTCCTTATCTATATGCACAGTAATGCCAGTTGAAATATGTTCTTACTGTGACTTTTATAATATGCTTACTCAATAGGTAAAGCGTTCCAGAAGTAAAGGAGGACTGGCTGGACCTGATGGTACAAAGTCAGTGTTTGGACAGATGTGTGCTAAAATGAGTTCCTTTAGCCCTGATAGCCTTCTGCTTCCTCATCGTGTTTGGAAAGTCAAGTTTGTTGGTAAGAGAATTCTTCTCACCCCACCCTTCTACGTTGCAGTTAACTCTTGGAGAACCTGAAGGAAGGAAGTGATACAGAAAACAATGTATGTGTGTAGACAAAGTGCTTAAAATGTTAGGAAGTAAAAAACCTTTTCAAATTATTCTATAAAACCCCTCAAGTTTAATGGAAATGTGTCTGTGATTCTCCTCAAATTCCAGGGGCAGCTATTCTGCTTGCTGCAAACACTCTGCAAAACCTAAACCGGTTTTTGAGCTGTCTGAATTGGTAATTAATCCTGGCTAGCTAGTCTTACTGGTAAGGTTGTTTCTACAAATCACCATATCACTTTGAGCTTTTTAATGAAAAATATTTGAAATTGAAGAGCCGTTCTATCTACGGAATATGGGCTCAATAAAATATATCTACTTTAAAATGCCACTCGTGAAATTCAAAGCTACACTTCCTTTTCTAGCTCTGTTTTGTTTTATTTTCATTAGTGGATAGCGATAAAAAAAATTAGTTACATTCCGTCAAAATAGTATTTTTGTCACTGTGATATGTCATATAATCTTCTAAATAATGCATTTTACAATGAGCTGGAAACATCCGGAGAGCAGAACTTCAGGCGTTTTCATATGAAGAGATAAGACAGCGCAGCTTTTAGTAAACTTCTGTTTACTCAGTTATCCCTGTGGAATGAAATACAGTTTGTTTCAATACTTCAGTTATTTTTGAAAGAACATTTAATTTTGAGCCTTTTTTCTTCAAGGTGAATCTGTGGATGATTGTGGTGGAGGTTATAGTGAATCAATAGCAGAAATGTGCGAAGAGCTTCAGAATGGGCTGACCCCTCTGTTAATTGTGACACCAAATGGAAGAGATGAATCTGGAGCAAACAGAGATTGCTTCCTATTAAATCCTGCTGCCAAGTCACTCCTGCATATGAACATGTTTCGTTTTCTTGGTAATTTCTTAGCTACTTTGTGATATGCTACTGGCATTACATGATCAGAATATTGGGAATCTAAAAAAGAGTGTTTAAACTTACAGGTGTACTTTTGGGCATTGCTATCCGGACCGGCAGCCCTCTGAGCCTCAACCTGGCTGAGCCAGTGTGGAAACAGCTTGCAGGAATGAATCTAACAATTGCTGATCTCAGTGAGGTAAGTATGATGAAGTTCCTGAGTAGGATATAGCTTACAGCAGACAAGCAGATTCTAGCATAAGTTTTTCTCGAGTGATTAGTTTCCCTGGTTTCCATATGCTTGTATTTTGACTGCCCTTTTACATTTTGAACCAGTATACAAGGAGGATTTGTACTGACTGTTAAAACTGTAAATGTGAGTTGTTCAAAAGTATTTAATCTATTTGAATTCTAGAGTATTCTTAAATCTCATGGGTTTGACTAGACAAATCTTTGTGGTGGAATTCCTACTTCCAGTAGACCTTTCTGTAGCTGTTACTGTCTGTAGTACCAAATGATTTGAGTGCACATGCGTGCACTGTTTTGAAGTAAAAGAAAATGAGTGCAAACTACTACTAGTTTGTGCTTACATACTTCATGAATATCACAAACTTTCAATGTCTGTTTAATGAGCTCAGTAAATGTAGGATAAGACTTAGATCTTCAGTACAAAGAAGAGCTCCTTCTCAAATCCTGTCATGTAGAAATGTACTTACTGTAAAAGCATTGAGTCATTCACTTGTCACTAAGGGGATTCCTTTTGTACCAAACCCAGCATTGGTAGAGATAATTATTTTTTTAAGCTTTAAATCCATTTTCTCATAAAATACAGTTTCTTGGGAAATGCTCTCCAAAAAGGTTGAAATCTGGAACCACATGCACTTTCCAACATCCAACATAATGAAATTTTATGTAAAATACTAAGCCGTTTTATGTTTTTGAAATAAAGTTCGATGAATTCTGGTCAGACATTCATCAAAGCTTTTGGCAGATAACATGTGATGCACTGCTTTTGGTATACAAGAGACGCTGTTGTGTAATGCTAATAAACTGAGTTTAACTCGGGTTTGTTACTCTCAAAAGGTTGATAAGGATTTTATTCCTGGGCTTATGTACATTCGAGATAATGAAGCTACTTCAGAAGAGTTTGAAGCTATGAGCCTCCCGTTCACTGTGCCTAATGCAAGTGGTCAAGATATTCAGCTGAGTTCTAAGTACACCCATATTACACTGGATAACAGAGCAGAATATGTGAGACTGGCAATAAACTACAGGTTTGTTGAAGAAATCATTAAAATTATTGACGTGAATACGCATTTTCTTTCAAAAAGTATGCAACAGCTTTTAAACAGTGTACTACTTCAACCTCTTATGCAGAAATATTTTAATATTTTCACAGGATTGCAGTGTTGAATTTCTGATTTCACTTATCTCTCTAAGGAGAGAAAGATTAAACTTAGTTTTTAGGAAACAAAACAAAGAAGCAGGTATGGCTCTAGACAGAGGTATGACCTGACAGAGCAGTTTTGGCAGCCAGTTTTACAGGTGGAGAAATATCCCATGCATCTAGTTCTTCCTATGCGCTAAAGTAATAGACTTGATCTTGTGAAGAGAACATAGATGTAGTACTGCTGCACTCATAGTTTTTCATCTCATCAATTGCAATCAAAGGCAGTATCAGCTGAATTCTTACTTTATTCTTATCTAAGTTGGAATAGACAAAACAAAATGTTCGTTCCTTGGATATGACACTTGTGCACACCCACCAAAAAAGGCGAAAGCCGAAAAGGGCCAAGAGCCGAACATTGCATCATCATCATGGCTAGGCTTCGTGAACGAAGATTTAGGAAAGCTCTATCCACATTTGTTACGGGCATGCTGGTGGCTTATGAGGCCAATACGAGATAGACATATCCGATTGCACAAACATTGCACTGAAATGCAAATAGTTGTTTAGTATTTGAAAAGACAGGCCTTTGGGTTGCTTGTGTAGCCAGGTAGCTAATCTAGATGAGCACAACTAAGAAGCAACCATAAGCATCTTTGTGAAGTAGTAAGTCTAGTGCCTACTGAAATATGGAAATTTAGATAATTTGGGTGAGAAACTGATTCATGGCTGTTTTATTCACTCCACCATAGTTATCTGCTTCAGAGAGTGCTTGAGCAAGACTGTGTTGTCACTATATACTTGCTTATTAGTTTCTAGTTAGTGTCTGGCAACAACTACTGAATTAGTCTTTGTTTTTCTTTTTTTTTTTACTCTATAAATGGTTATGAACCAATACTTAAACTTGATTTTGACAGTAGAGAGAGGGATTTCATTTGGAGTGGATATTCCTTTGAAGAAATGGCTTTGTTTTATTGTCAGTTCTGGCTATTCTCAAAGGACACAAGCAATTCTAAAGCATTTTGCAGTCAAAAGGCCTTTGGGGGAAACGTTTAAAGGTTTAGATTAAGTATCGGGTTTTTACTATATGAAGCCCTTGAGAGGGAAAACTAGCACCTGAATTGAATCCATAGGGAAAAGTGGATTCAAAAGACCAAACTTGTCCTGACATCTTTGTTTATTTTGGTGATGACTTCATAAGCCTGAAGACAGGACTTATGAAACATGTGAAACTGTGCTCTGGAGAGCTCTGTAAAACATCTCAGAAATTATTTGATAGAGAAAAAAACCCCAAAACACAAATGATGTGTGGCATCAGAAGCAGCAAAGTGTTACTTATCAGTATCTGCCCTGAAATCGGAAAACCTCCTGTCCCCACAGAAACCATGTTTTAGTTTAGACCCATTTTCCTTTTACTGTAATGTCTATCACATATTGAGAATGTTTAAGGTTTCAAGACACAGCCTCTCTTTTCCCAAGAGTATTGTGGCAGTTTGAGCCACATTAGAAATCCAAAATCCAATTACCAGGCTTCCCCCACCCCTTCCCACAATTTATCTCAACACCGAAGAGAAAACTTTCAGGCAAGAGGCTTCTATAGGGGAAGGGGGAAGTATTTACATTTATTTACGCAAATAAATATACTGTACAAGCTAAAAGCAACTATATATATATATATATTACACTTCTATCAGTCTCTGCAAAGCTTCTCCTTTTAACTTAAGTCCAGGAAAAGCCTTTCCAGTCTGATAGGTAACCAGTCTCTCTCTCGTGGGAGTGTTCGGGGACCCGAACGCTCCCCCCTCACCAAGCTCCAGCTGTTTGTGGAAGTCCTTCCTTCCTCACAAAGTCCAAGAAGGTAGCTCTGAGTCCTTTCTCCTTGGTCCTGTGTCATTTCTGCTGTGTGATCTCTCTCTCTCGGTCTCATACCTCGGTTTTGTAGGCTGCTGTAGTGTAGCTTATCAACATACGCATCCTCCAAGTCAGTTTTCGGCTGCCCCTGGTCAAACCTCAGCAGGGCAACTCCCGAGCCTCTCTTTCTCTGGCCCATCTCCAATTTTGCCTGGGATTCTTCTCCCTAGCGCCGAGCTGCTTCATTATCAGCCCGTCCACTTGGCTCTGCTTCAATGCTGAGCCTCTCCTCCACTTTACAGTGGAGGGAAAGAAAAGGCCCCCCTCCACAACTTAAATGCAAAAGGGGGTGGGGAAGAAGGCTTGGCTGCAAGGCCTGCCTTCTTTCTCTCCCACTTACCAGTTATTTGTGAGTTGCGTCCCTCACAAACACACACTCACTCCAATGCTGTCTCTAACTCTGGCCTAGGCAGAGTTGGGGGGCCACAGGGCTCCCCTCTCCCCGCCAGAGGGGGCAAGAAGGAGCCCAGCCACCCCCTGACCTCCTACACCTACACGCAGCAGACACCAACAGAAACTGTCACCAGCTTCCGGTGCTGTGTATATATGATTTTTTAGCAGAATCGAACAAGATGAGTGGTGACTGGCTCTCCAGGGAACACTGCCCTGGCACCCAATCACCTCTGAGCCCCCCGACTCTCTGGGGGGCCAGTCTTAACCCATGACAAGTATGTTGTTTCCAAATTGGGTATTGGTTTGTTTTTGCCAGGCATAGCACAGGAATAATACTGGGAATAAAATATTCTAAACATTGGGAGATATCTCTCCATATTGAGCTTGCTGTGCAATATGAATTGGTGTATAAAGTCAAGTATTTTGTGGTAAATGTTAATGTTCCTTGGTTTATAGCTGGAGACTTGAGGAGAGTGGTTAAACTTGCTTTGATGTCACAGTAATTGCTATAAATAATTGCTAGAAATAACATTCACAGAAACTCCAAAAATGTTTCTTTGCAGGCTTCATGAATTTGATGAACAGGTTGCAGCAGTTCGTGAGGGCATGGCCCGTGTTGTTCCAGTTCCTCTACTTTCGCTCTTTACAGGATACGAACTGGAAACTATGGTATCAATTTCTGCTTTATTACTTCTGTCAGACTAATTTGAAGTGAGATTATTCACTCATTCATTTTACTAATCCAAACCCCACATTAAATGCTGTTTACAATGATTGCTCTGTGGTTGCAAACATTCAGTTCAAGAAAAGACTAGAAAATGTTTAATTGCCCTATTAGTGTTAGTAAAATTATTTTGATATAGCTGAGCAGTGATGTAATGAATTTTTTCAGTAAGAAACAAACAAAACCAAAAAACCCCACATGACAGGGATCTAGGAGGTGAATTGCAGATATTTGTCCCAAGTAAAATGTTTAATTTGTTATGTGATCTAGGAATGTGAAAGAAGGTTCATTACTGTCCCCTGATGGGAAGATGTGTATTTAGTACTATTGTAATAGGAGACTATTCATGACACTTCAAATATTCGAATGTTGAGTTTGTCAGTGTAAAAGATTATTAAATACTTTAAAGGAATAGAGGGAACAAATCACCTCTAATTGATTTTATCAGACTTGTATAGCCTATCACTGGATCTTATTTTTCAGGTATGTGGAAGCCCAGATATTCCACTTCATCTCCTGAAATCTGTAGCGACTTATAAAGGCATTGAACCAACTGCTTCCTTGATACAGTGGTTCTGGGAAGTGATGGAGTCCTTCTCCAATACAGAGCGATCTCTCTTCCTGCGTTTTGTGTGGGGCAGAACAAGGCTGCCCAGGACTATTGCAGACTTTAGGGGGAGGGACTTTGTTATTCAGGTAAGGTGTATGGGATGGAGAGGATGTAGGGGGGTATTTAAAAAAGCTGCTACTGGAGAAGTAGTAGCATGACATAACAAGAGAACAGGCTGATTTCATTAAACTGTTTTGCAACATTACATTGTAGATTTGACAGTGCAACAGAGACTGTTAATGTATATAAATATTCTCTCTTGACTTGGACAACTCATTTAATTGCCCAGCCACTTATTTCTCTGGATTTTGATAGTTTTCCACTGTCATTCAACTGTTTTTGCTGGCCCGTATTTAGCAGTTCATTCAGCTTAGTTAGTAATTTCAGCTAAATTAAACCCCCATGATCTTCAAATCATGTTTTGATATTTGCTGAAGTAATACACCATACATTCATAATCAAAGCAACTCATACATGTCTGTTTTTATTTATTTACTTAGGGTAGGGAAAATGGATTTTGCCTTTTAATTTTCTTTTAAGAAACATCAGCATCAGAATCAAAAATATAATATCCTGTTTAAAAACAAATCCCAATTATTATTTTGATACTCATTTGTGGTTTGGACAGTGAATTAAAAATATTGTGCTTTTTTTTTTTCAACAGGTATTGGATAAATACAACCCTCCAGACCACTTCCTTCCTGAGTCGTACACATGCTTCTTTCTCCTGAAGCTGCCCAGATATTCCTGTAAGCAAGTACTAGAGGAAAAACTCAAGTATGCCATTCACTTCTGCAAGTCTATAGACACTGATGATTATGCCCGGATAGCACTGACAGGAGAGCCAGCAGCTGATGACAGTAGTGATGATTCTGATAATGAAGATGCAGACTCTTTTGCTTCAGATTCTACACAGGACTACCTAACAGGACATTGAAAAGTAACATAAGAAATAGTTGTCACAAGCACTGAGGCAAAATGCCAAAATGACAATGAAGCCAAGGACAGTTTAGGTTTCAGAATATAGACTATATAGTCAGAGGGATGGTAATCTTCTGAACATGGGGAAAGTGTGTTTGCTACTCACAGTAGGAGTTAAGGGTTACAGCTTAAACCATCAGCTTAAAATAAATGGCACAGTATATGGGCATTTAACATTTATTTTAAGAGCTGAAAGTGGCCCCCCATAATGCTGCACTGCATTTAGAACCTTTGTGTTTACTGAAGTGTTGTAAATGTTTATATAAATATGGTAGTGCAGCATCCAAAAGGCAGTGAAACCTTTAAATTGTGGGTGCAATAGGTTTTTTTCATATTAAGTGTTGTGTTCTGTGCATCTTCTTGATTGTATATTGGAAATACTGTGCAACAACTGAATAGTATTATAAATATTTCATTTAACTTTACTAGAAGTTTGTTAAAAGTTTTTGAACATTGAATAAACATTATTCCTTGAAATTCTTCTATAGATAATTAAAAATGGCCAATAGTTTCACCTCCACCCCTGGTTTGTATATTTTAGCTTATGTGTTATTTATCTCAAATTTGATACTTTCTGTGAACAGCATCATAATTCTTATCATGGAAAGTGTACTGTATATAATTGGTGCCATGTAAATGCAGAAGTTATAATTTCCTTCCAAATAAAAGTTCTGCCACATTGAAAAACAGTATGTGTTTTTCCGTGGTAATGCAGCTGCTACATGGGACAAACACTGAAACGGCTCTACTAAGAAACGTTTCTGTAATTTACAGCTGCTGAGCAAACGTTTTTGGTGCTGCTCCACCAATAGTAGGTGCATTGCCAGAGACAGAATGTGAGCTACAGTAAACTTGAGCAAGTCTATGTGATGTGTTAATGGTAGCAAAACACCATGTTTTTGCAGTCGTTCCTAAGGCAGCTGTTGTCAGTAAATGGTGAATTTCTTCTTAGACACCTGGAAAAAAATTTTGAGGAAGTTTAAGGGGCAGGTGTCATCAGGTACCTGAATGTGAGTAGAAGAGTATGATGATCCTTGTACAACATACTGTCGTGGAGATTAGGTCATCTTACAAGGCTTGATCGTGACACATCGTGCATCCAGAGTGGCCTGTTTGAATAAGTGATCGAAGTCAAGCGCCTTTGGGCAGGTATTATGTGTTGACCACATGGTGTATGCACTGGTTTTTCGGAGTAGGAGAATAAGATTTAGTTGTGCCAAGGCACTGATGTTTTACTTTGAAATCCAGTAATAGGTGATGTCATACCATTGCTTCACTAATTATCAGGATAGGTATATGTGAGTATTTAACATTTTGCTATTCTGAGCGGATTAATTAATTTTTTAGTGTGTGCATTTGACTTTAACTAGATTTAAATATTAAATGTGGGTTAATATTATTTCAAAGTTCTCATGAGACAAAGTTGATATTCCAAAATAGTGGTGAAACTATCTGTTTGTTCTTAAGATGTCAGAGTTTTGAAATCTGTTAGCTTTAGACACCTCTGTTTAGTGCTGAAGATCTTTTGCTACTGTCCTGATCCTCTGTCTCGTTGGAGATTCCAGAGTCAGGCCTGTGCTCTGTCCTCCAGATTTACTCTGCTGATGAAAAATGCTGTATCTTTTTTGAGTCTTAAAGATGCAAAACTCAAAAAAACGTTAAGCAACCTCTTTTATCTTTGCTGCTGAATTGAATTTCTCCTGGGGGTAAAGAGTGGAGAAGCTAGTACAGAAGTGCTTGTGAGGTCATCTGTTGCCCTTCGCTGTGGTAACACTGGAGCCCTGTAGGCATCTAGCTTGATCAAAGAGATTCTGTAGTCAGCTTTTTAGGAGATGCAATGAATGAGTCATGCCCAAATCTCAGTCCAAGTTCAATTGCCATTCTTAAATTTCAAATCTCATTTCAGGAGCATGTGGACTACTAGTAAGATGGAGAAGTTTATAACTTGCTTCTAGGAAAGCAAAAGAATGTCAGAGTTTTTCTCCCAAGAAAAGTTAAAAGGAAGTATCGTTTATATAAGGAATCCGTGAACTGCATAAAAGAAGTTTCTTAAGCTGCCTTCTTTTCTTTCCCATCCTAACAGAAGAGTCTCAAGACACCTTTTTACAGTGTGATGCTTGTCGTCTGTGGCCTGACTTACAGCATTGCATAGATCATCATGTTGGAAGGGACTTCAAGGATCATCTGCTCCAACCTTTATTGGCTAAAACACAATCTAGACAAGATGGTTAAGCATCCTGTCCAACTGAATCTTAAAACTGTCAATGTTGGGGAATCTGTCTTTTCTCTGTGGAGATTGTTCCATGAATAACTTTCCTCTTCAGTCTAATATGAATCTCCACAGGGTTATCTTGTATCCATTACCGCTTGTCTTTTCCTTGTGACTCCTTGTAAGAAGGAGTCTGTGTCTTCTTTGTAGTCACACTTTATATACTGGAACATGGTGATAAGGTCTCCCCTAAGCCTTCTTTTCTCAAGGCTGAACAAAGTTCTCTCAGCCTTTCCTCACATGGCAGGCCTCCCAGCCCTCTGATCATTTTTGTGGCCCTTCTCTGGATCATCTCCAGCCTGTTCACATCTTTTTGCATAGTAGGGACCAAAACAGCACAGTATTCCAGGTGTACTGGTGTTGAGTGGGGTAAAGTGGGGTAAAGACTACTTTTATCTCTGCTGTCAATGTCTGTGTTGATGCAACCCAGCATCTCGTTGGCTTTCTTTGCTGCAGCAGCACACTGTTCACTCGTATTGAGCTTGCTGTCCACCTAGACCCCCAAGTCCATTTTCATGGAGCCACTCCCCAGCTGGGTAGATCTGAACCTGCACTGCAATCCTGGGTTGTTTTCCCAGGTGCAAGACCTTATGCTTGTCCTTGTTGAACTTCATACGGTTCTTGTTAGCCCACCCTCTGGGTGCAACCTGTCAGCCACACAGTTCCCCACCTACCACATGGAGCACTTCTCTAGACCCACCACTTTTTCTGGGAAGAGGCTATGGGAAACCATACTGAAAGCTTTTGAGAGATCCAGGTAGACAATGTCCTCCACTCGGCCCACATCAACCAAGAAGTTATTTTGTCATAAAAGGTGATCAGGTTTGTCAAGCACGATTTGCCCTTGGTGAATCTGTGCTGACTTTTCTCACTCATGGGCCTCATCTGATTTGTGATAACCCCTGGGAGCATTGTTTCATAATTTCCCCAGGGACTGAAGTAAGACTGCTCATCCTGTAATTTCGTGGATCATTTTTTTAAGCCCTTCTTTTAGATGGGTGACATTAGCCTTCTTGCAGTCTTCTGGATATCCCCTGATCTGCACAATTTCTCCAAGATTATGGAGAGTGAACCCACACCGTCAGCCAGCTCTCTTAAACAGCCTTGAGTGGATAATGTCAGGGCCCATCAATTTGTAGGGGTCGAACTGTAACAGTTCACGCCCAGCTCTTCCTTCACTGATGGTGGTGAGTCTGTGTTTGCATCAACCTGGACTTTTGTTCCCAAGGCCAAGAGGCCCAACAGTGCTGGTAAAGACTGAGATGAAGAAAGTGTTGTCAACCTCTGCCTTTTGAGCATTGCTAGTGACTAATTCACCTCTCTGGTTAAACAGCAAGCCAGTGTTTTCCTTCTGTTTCTGCTTGTTTACATACCTAAAGAACCCTTTCTTGTGGTTTTTGATACCTATGGCCAATTTCAGTTCAAACAGAGCTTTTGTTTTTCTGACTGTACCTCTGCAAACCCTGACAATGCCCTTGTAGTTCTCAGTGGGTATCCACCCACATTTCCTATAGCCTGTAACCATCCATTTTAATCTTCAGGCATGTGAGTTATCCTGTCATGTTTCAGTTATTCCTATGACATAATAAATTTCTGACTGGGTGTGGAGCTCCAGTTCCTTGTGTTTGTACCCCAGGCTGCATGCAGTGGTATACATACACTTGAAGTGATTGATCCTAAGGAGTATTTGTCACTGCTCTGGTTGGCCTGGCTTATTCCTGACTTGGTTGTGATGATTTGAGTGCTGCCACTTTAGACTTTACCACTCAGGTCCTTCAGTTTAAAGCCTGCTTCACCAAGCTGCCGAGCCTGCTGCCAAAGATTCCTTTGCCTTTTCTAGACAGGTGGATCCCATCCCTCCTTAATAGGCTGTAGTATTTCTGAGTAACCAGCTATTGGTCTTGAAAAAACCATTGTTTCAAGTGGTCAAAAATAGGATTTGCTATTAATGGGCTTTTACATGCAAATTCCTAGTCTAAGAAGGAAAAGGGCTCAACCCACATCAGGGAGTTTAGGGGACATGAACCATTTATCATGATTTACGTTCCTTAACATGTTAGTCAGAGAAGTCTTCAGGCCAGCATATATAGGTACTTGCCCTCCCTGCAAGCATCTTAATCAACAGACTATGTGCAAAATTAAATCGTTCAGTACTCTTCTAGAAAAAGTGGAAAGAGAGATCTCATTGACAAAATATTTTCCCTTTTTAGTTTAAAGAAAATGTACAGATGTAGAGTTTCCTATAGATGTTGCCTTTCAAGGTTAATTTCCTGATGAACCTTATCCTTAAAAATTTTGGTGTGAACTAAAACATGTCACTGTAGTTTCTTTTGCCTAACTGGGGTTGAAAGGTGTGAAATTGGTGGGAAAAAATATTCTATCATGGTGTCATGTCCCTATCTTAAGTGAAAATTGCAGTAAAACAACAGAACTGTGAATGTGACACACAAACTATTTATGAATTGATGCTCCTGATATTTGGAAAAGATTGTGCTGATTTATGTGTCTGTCTCAAATTTGAATGCAGATGGTTATATCTGTCAGGTTCTTCAGCTTTGAATTTAGTCATCTGATGGCCAGTGAGTATGATTGTGCAAAGATTCTCAGAAACACAGAGCAGAATTGTCTCAGTTGTTTCCTGACTGTGGTCATCCTTGATCAGCTCTCTCCAGTGAGTTTGCATGTGGTGGACTAGCAGCATGACCTGTAAAAGGTTTCAGCAGAAGCATTTTGAGAAGTCTCTTTGGAGGACGTGGATATAACATAAAGGAGGACATGATATAATGTCAAATGGAGGACATGATATAAAATACTCTGGGATTCTCTTTTGTAAATGGTCAGTGTTAAGTGAAAAGAAACTTAATGGGCACTTGTATCTTCTTAGTACTGATGATAAACCTTAATAGGGATGGGGTACAGCACTTCTAGAAAATAAAGTCCAAGATAGGAGTATAAACTTTCTTGTTTCCTCGTGACAACTTTATCAGTGTGGGAGGGCAAAACGTGTCAATGTTTTTTGGTCTCAGTGGTAGGCTGAGCTTTGTTATCCTGTTTGGCAGCAACTCATAGGGGAAAAAAAAAGTGTAAAATCAAACTTTTGCAGGTAAAGCTTCAGGAAAAGCATTAAGGTGCCTCCTAAACTGGAAAGATTTTTTTGAGCAAGACTCCCACACATGTAGTTTCTGGTTCTGCTGCTTCTAATGTTTTTCATTGATTTCATCACATTGACCTCGAAACACTGTGGAGAAGAGGGTCCATGTCCAAAATGAAGTTGATAGGAGAAGGCCTGTCTGACCTGAGCAATGCAGAAGTCTGTGGGTTATGAAGTGCTGTGCACAGCAGGAGAAAGAAATCAAATGCATGAAATACCTGTGTTGGGAAGCCAAGTGAGATTTAGGCTGGTTTGAGTGAGTTGCTCTT